CAAAATAGGAAAAGGTAGAGATACATATATATGTACAGAAGATAGACATTATTTTCCATAAAACATTTTTATCGCGACATTCCTATTCTAAAAAACATGGGGTCCTTTTTCGCTCCTCCACACAAGATCAGAAGAAAAGTAATGAAAATGTATATGTTTCTACCAATATTTACACATTTAGATAATTATGAAATTTCCCTGAAAATAAAAAAAATTTATTTACGAACAGCAAATCAGACAATTTTAAAGGTAGATATGATCCCTGAGAACATCTAGTTCAAAGCCTTTAGTTCAAGTAAGAAAAAGCTGAGGCAAAGAGTAATTAATTGTGATGTACTGAAGGTCACCCAGTCAGCAGCTGGATGAGAATCCAGGTCTCCTGCCTTGTGCAGTTCTGTGCTCACCATATGGTAAAAGTTTCTCTGCGGGCTTCCCTGACTTGATTTTAGTAAGGAAGTGAAATTGATTAAATGTAATAATAATAACAAATACTTAAAGAGCTTATTATGTGATAGCCAATGTTCTGAGTGCCTTATAGGTATTAACTAATTTAATCCTCATCACTATCCTGTGAAAGAGATACTTTAATTAGCCCCATTTTATAGAAAGGAAAATTGAGGCTTAAGATCACACAGCTAGGTGGTGGAGCTGGGATTCAAACACAGGTGATTCATTCATATATCTGTGCTCTTAATGATTCTGCTGTATCCCATTTGTTGTAGATAAGGCAGTCAAGCATAAACTTCAGCTGGGATTATTTTAAAAATGACAGCACATGAAGTCAAATTATTGTGCACGTCAAAAATGCACAATTATATGTTTAAATATACGTTCTATACAGTTTGCTATTTAGGTCCACACACTCATATGCATGAATTACCATATATAAAATATAGAGGACTGTGCTTTCTGGGAATTTTCTTCATACCAGGACCAGTACTCCACCCCACCCTAGCCCCCTTCTCTCCAAGCCTTGGCGAGTAGCCTTGCTTCCGAGCCAGGGTGGCCCTAGAAAGAGCTTGCACCATTACTGTGGTTATGAAAGCTGGCTGCCACCACCACTACCAGTCACTAAGAGACCCCATGCTGATGGAGACAGAGAGGCTGCAGTGCCTGGACACTCGGCAGGCTGGGTCCAAGCTGGCACTGGCTTCCCCAGGGGCTGCATGGAAGAACTGGTTAATATCAGCAGAAATTATGAAGAAATCAACTCCCTCTGACCAATAAGAGAGAGGAGGTAGGACAGAACCAGCAGATAAAGTGCTCATCCTTATTCCCCAGGAGGCACTGTTCCATGATGCATATGGTCTCTCTAGGGGCATCCAACAGGACTGAGCACATAGCTGTGCTGTTGAACAGCTGTGGTCAGCTCAAGAACGCACTACCTTGTATTTGCTCTCCCTCCTTCCCTGTATCAGTTCTCTTTTTCCCTCACTTTTACTTCCCTGGGATTGTAACACCTCCAACCCCAATAAAGTGTTAGCACAATCTCTTTGCTCTGTTTTCTAGGGAACCTGGTCTAAGATATGAGGGCATTCCTTGAGATCAACAATTTCAGTACATAAAATGCAGTTGGCAGATTGCAGCAATAGACATGAGTATTGGAGAATTCTGGCCATCAAAAATTCCTTCCCCCTTCCCCTCTATGATTCACTAGTACAACAAGCAACTCAACTCTTCAGTCCATATTTGGGATACCATAGAGCTTCTGCAGTATGAACTAACAAATGGTACATTTTCTTGATGAAAGGAATAACTGTTTCAACGTTTTATATCCATAGCTATATTTTCAATTTCTTTATTTTTAAGGGTTCTCTTTGGTAAAATTCAGGAAGCCCTTCTAATTTAAATTGTTGTGTTCTTATGAATAGAACTATATAAACTCATTCAAAGATCAAATCAAATTATCTAGCTATTTCAGAGGGTACATCTTATAGCCAATTCACTCTTGCAGAACTACCAAAAAAATTGGAATTCTATTCAAAATTAGACCATTGGAGGGATCAGACAAAAGCGCTTTTATCACTGGGTAGAGCTATATAACATCATCCTTAAGACAATTGGGACCTAAATTGATTCTTCCATAATGAACATACTTTGGAATATGAGCTGGGTATCATTCTGAGTACTTCAGCAGGTATGATGTCATTTTAGTTATGCCTGAGGCCCATTTGGGAGACAGTATAAGTTAGTATGCTAAGTTTTTACTACAGAATGTCAACTCTGCCACTGGCATATTTTCTATGTAAGACACAAGAAGTTCTCTTTAATCAATAGCACAGAATAATGGGACCTCAAGGACTCACTCATCAGAGAATTCATCTGTGAATTAGAAATTGGGCATTTGCCAAAAGATGATGCAATTTGCCTAATATTTGAGAAAGACAGTCTAGAAGGCAAGTTAGTGCTCCATTCCTCTAGCTTATTAAGTTCCATTGTCATTAATTTAGATTTTTCAGTTAGTAATAAATCTATATTATAGTACCTTAGTATTCCACAGAAATGCTTTCATTGAATTATCATTCAATGCCACACCTTTAGATTTTAGACAATGGCAATAGAGGAAGAAACCATTTGAATAATGTTTGTTTATTTCGCAAAATCTTGGTTTAAAAATGTGTTCTATTCTAGTACAAAAGCTCTCTGTTGATCAGGGTGAGAAAATTCATCATGCTCAGAAAAATGAAGTTACTTGACTTGAAACACTATTATTTATTTGTTTCTATTATGATGTGCTTTGGCTTATGAAAACTTCAAAGCTAAATAAAGCAATCAACTGCAGTAACTAACATTTCAGGTAATTGCTAAAACATTTCTTCTTTTTCAATTAATATTGGCCTCTTTATAAGATTTAACTGTCCTTTTTTCAATTATCACACACTTTATGTTATTCCCAAATTTGTTTAACATAATTTGTTTTAAGAATTATTGAAACTGCCAAATAACCTTTCAGATTCATTTTAACTTAAATGAAAAATTTCACTATTAGACTGTATCTAAATGATGTTAAACAACCAGACATCTCAATGGAAAAAGTCTGGTACATTACTAAATTTAGACAGAGAAAGTAATAATCCAGTGGACTGGTCAAATTTTTCAGTGGTTTTTTTTGGTATCACACGGTCAACATGAGACAAAGTATTTTCATATGTGATCGACTGAACACAGCTCTGCTTTTCAACTTGGAAAGAGTTTATATTGCTTACTCACAGAGTTTATATTTTACAAATAGTAGATTGTTACACAAATTAGGCATAAATAATAAGTTATAGTCCCAAATCACATGGAGAGTCACTAAAACATCTGATTAAGAAGTGAAAATTCCCAAATCTTGTCTATTATGTTACGCCTATGAACATGCGGCATCAATCACCGGCAGCTTTAAAATCCTGTCTCATGCTGGGACAGTCATACCTGCTGATTTACATCCTCTTTCTTGGGATTAATTGCCACGTATCAGCACTGTGTGAACTTCCTGCCCATCATTCTAAATCCAAGGCATGCAGCCCATTCTCTCAGGCCAGGCTCCATACCTCACCTGATTTCTTGTCCTCAGTCCAATCTGAATCCTAGACTTAAAAAGCTAAGACTCCACTACTAGCCATTCCCAGACTTCTTTTCTGAATAGGGAACATTTCTAATGTCACCAAATTTGACCCTATTTACCAAATTGGACTTGCTTTTAGATTTCCCTGAAACTGCATTCCTCCTTCAGAGTAAAATGATTTTCTTCACCAGCAACACCTTCTCATCCTGGCCTGCCTTATCTACTCACACCCTGCAGAAATCAACATACTCTTGGGGCATGAACATCAGTGCTATCTAGAAAATCAAATCGTTGGTTGATGTTAGAAGGTCCCTTCATGTTTTTGACCCTTAACAATTCACAAGAATTCTACCTGAGATAATTAGTGATAAAAGTGTAAAAATCTACCAAATTAGTATAACCTATTATTTAAGCCCATTATTACCTACTATTTAAGCCCATAATATAATATTAAGTGTTATGTCCATTATTGCCATTAACCATTATATCCATCCAATTGGAGCTATATCTGATAGCATCTGCACAAACTCAAGTTTTTAAATTTACGAGGCTCATAATGTAAGAACAATATATTCCTCCAAATATAATAGTGAGTTAAAATATTATAATTAGTTTCTTCTAAATAGTTTATTATGATATTCTAAATTCATCTTAACAGCAAATATTTCACTTTTTTTTTTTTTTACAGAAGGCAAAGAAGAATACTTTACATTTAAAATGGAAAATCTTTTTTTTTTAACTGAAGTCATGATGAATATTTTCTTCCTGGGATGTTTATGATTGCTTTTCCTACTAAATAGTGTCATGAAAATAAAATGTAAGCTTAACAGGGTTCATATCAGAGTAAAATTTTTGTAATTCTAGATCAAAATGTTTTCTCTTAGCAAATTTTCCAAGAACTTAGCTATTCAAAATATTAAGAGAGAGAAATGATCATCAAGTTCTTCCCTACAATGAAATGTTGAAATCAACACTAAAATTGTGGAACATAATCTCTAATTACTAACCGAAGCTACTACTAACATAATGGGAAAGCAGATTTCTTTCCAATCTCACCAGCAATGCCATTTATCACATCTCCTTTCAAGTAAAGAGACTGGTATTAAAAAAAATAACATCAAGAGGGATGACGCCAGAATGCCACGCTGAAAAGTCTCTAGCTAAAAGTTAATCACCTAAAGGGCTGGACTCTTTCATCCCAGCATAGTATGCAGCTCAAAATTAACACGTAGGATAAAATTTCAAATTATGAGTCATTTAAATTGCAAGAAGAATAAACCTGTGTCAAGGAAAGGATACTGAAGAGACCAATTGCATTGGGGCTACAAACTTGTAGAAAGGTTACAAGACCTTTTATTACAAAAGAATCCAAGATGTTGGGTCTAACAAAGGTAAATGTCACAAGAAACCGAAACTCAGACCCAGACAAATACACACATATATATAGTTTTACCTTGCTGCGTTGGGATCCTGTGACCTTAAGGAAGGATGAGGACAAGAAGCAAAATAGCAATAAACAACCGCTCTGAAGACAACTGATAGACCATAAATGGTGTGCACTTCAGAAAAACAATGTTATTTGCTGCCCACAGCTCATTCTAATTTATCTCAGTTTCTAATCAATAAAGATGGATTTCAGAATAGAATACACATACATTAGAAAAGCTTATAGTGCCATATAGGAAATTAATCTTATGGCATTTTTCTCAGCCAGCAATAGTCATGGGTTATTCTCTTGTTTTTTTATGTTTTACACATTGACTTCAGTGCTGGGATGCTCACATCAAATTGTTTCTGAGAGGGGCACTACTCTACGTCCATCCTCACCTATGCCTTTTTGTGGGTCCACTGTAATTAAAGACTTACTGCTGGTTACTAATATATTTCCAGACTCTTCTAACTCAAAGTCTAGTCATGTAAATAAATAGAAAAGAAAAAGAACCTAATCTATTTCCTTCCATTTAATTTCTTTTTGAAAATTCTAAAAAACAAAACAAAAGAAAACAAAGAACCAATAAATAAGGAGAGTGGTAGTTAGCAAACAGCTAGTTTTTCTCATAAAAAGCAAAAATGCAGTCTAAGCAAAGGAGGAAAATAATATTTACTTTCCTTCTGGCTAATTAATATCGAGCAGTATTTCAAATCATATGGATATTTAAAAGCTGAGAATGTTTGAGAAAATAATTATAAAAAATAGAACATAGCCCTAGGAATATATGCACTCCTACCTCATGCAAGCATACTGCATCATGTGCCACCATCTACATATGTACAGGGAATGAGTGACCTAATTGGGTAGAAGTCAAAGGAGGCCAAATCTTTAAGACTTCTTCAATTCAGAAAAAAATATCAAACCAAACATTTAATTAAAAATTCAATGCCGTGTTGCTCTTCAATAAACATTTTCCTCACATCTGTTGGAAATTTCAGATCACAACATTCATTGAGATGAGAACAATTTGAAGCAATCTCATCTCTCCAAGTTCTCAGGAACACTCATTCTGAACATATGGGTTTTATTTGATTATTTAACTATTCTATGTTCCTTGGTCTTAACTTCAGCAAATGTTAGGACTCAGATATGTCCATCCAGCTTCTGACATGCAGTTCCTTGACACAATAAGCTGCAATAAGCCATGAAGCAAGAAACATAAATGTCAGTTATAAGCTATGAAACAATGTTTCAAAGTAGGAAAAAGACAAATCTAGAAAGATCCATCTTACTTCAAAACTCTTCACTTCCTCTTCACCATCATCATCTTCCTCATCATGACAACTCTGATACATGTAAAAAATTAAAAAGGTCAACAGGATTAGAATATGTTGAGGCAGAAATTACAAAAGAATTTACATAGAATTTACCAAATCACTTGTATTAATCATCAACACTGTTTAAATATATTAGATATAATATAAATATATTAGATATGATACACTTAGAGGACATGATCAATAAATTCATCTTAAAAGAAAATTATATTGTGCTTTTACAAAATTAAAATATTAAATTACCAATTTTATACATAACATGGAGATATTTACGAGGTCGACATCATACAACACAAATACTACTTATTCATGCATTTGCCTTGTTCAAACCAAACTGCAAGCCTTCAAGACAAGCGTCATTGTTTTCTCTTGTTTTATGCTGCCATTACAACACACTAATACAGACACATGCAATAACTATGAATTAAAATTAATAGAAAGCATTGTCCATTAATTAAAGTGAATCTTGTAATCTTTTTTTTAAAGTTCATTATTTATTGTATTTGGTCCAAAGGAGGAAAGTGAAATTCTAACTGCTACTAATATTATTCTTTTATAGAAAAATGATAAAACTAACTATTCCATGATTTTGAGTTATATTGCCAGAAATTACAAACAAGTTGTGCTAATCCATGCATACAGTTTTATCTAATTCCCATAGCTGAAATTTTTGCTTGAAAAGGAGGCAGAGTGGTGTGGTGGTTAGATCCATGGCCTGAGGACGCAGAATGCCTGGGTGGAATCCTGATGCTGCCAATTATTATTTGTTTAGCCTAGGGCATGTTCCTTTACCTCTCTGGGTCTCCATTTCCTCATATTTAAGGTAGGAATAAGAAAAAGAATACCCGGGTTCCTGAGAGGATCATATGAATTAATATATGTAAATTGGTTGCCACTTAGGAACAAGTGTCTGAAAAATATTAAGCTTTTAATTATCTCAACTGCTATTATTATTATGGTTTAGAATTAGGAGTATCATGTTGACCAAAGGAAGCTGGTCATTGACCAATACATGTGGTAGGAAGAGACCTATAATTCTTCAAAGTTAGATGGTTCAAACCCTTCTAATGATTTCTTATGGTTGGTAAGCACTCAGTGTACCAGTGAAGTGCATGGAGGCAAGTGGTTAAATATAAGGTACAGGTCAGAAAAATACTTTTAATTTGGTGATTCACAGTACTTTGAATACGGAGATGAAGTGGTGATGGGAGGGAGGGTACAAAATGTGATCTTTCTATCCACTTAACAATAAATCCTAAAAGGTTTGTCACATTCTTTCATTCATTCAACAAATATATACTGAGTATCATCCTTTCCATTTAGAATAATAAGAATGTGAACATGGTCTGCAAAGGAGAAAATAAGGGGACACAGACCTGTGACAATTTCACTATGTGGAAAAGGTGTTAAATAGCACGTGTCACCACAAAACCAAAGATGTTAATTATTTATTCAGAGTGCAGGAAATTTTCTACTCTGTGTTAATTTTCTACTATGTGCTAATGTCACCTTGACACCTATGTCATCAGTTAACCAGGGATTTTGAAAGTAAGAATCCATGAGGACTTTAGCAAAATATATCTAGAAGGCAAATCTCTAGTCCTCCATAAATATTAGTAAGAATCCATGAGGACTTTAGCAAAATATATCTAGAAGGCAAATCTCTAGTCCTCCATAAATATTGTACATATAATGTCAAATACAGAGGAATTTTGGCTTATGTTCTCCTTAAGATTATCAATGTCACGTTTCCCTCCATCTGCATTAGTAATTAGAAGTGAAGTATGGGCATTTTATCAGGTAACAAGGATGGTTACTATTTAATCTAATCAGAATACTAATATCAAATGTCTCTTAAGGATATGATGTCTTCAATTTTCTCAAATTTATTATCTCCTTTATAAATTATCTTCAGAAATACTGGGGAGAAACAAGGTTTGAGTTGAAGAATATATTTAGAAAAATTGTCATTTTGAGTTATAATGATATGCTTTTAAGCTATAAAATTGAAATGATATGTTTGCCTTTGTATGAAGGAATTTAGAGCTCTAGCTGACAAATATTTTTTACAAAGAATTATTTTGAAATAAAATATTTTAAACTGTTTTTTTAAATCTTCCTAAAAAAATTTACTGAGATTTGCTTCTACTAAGGTTAAAATTTGTGATTTTTTAAAACCTATTAAGCCTAAGAATCTATTGGGAGTATATATTTGACAAAATTCATGAAACCCTAAACTACTTTAAACTTGTACTGATTGGCATGAGGGTATGCTGGTACCACAAGGAAACTATAGCAGATCTCTAGCACTTTGTAATGTATTGGACAGAAACAGAAGGATTTATAGGCATAGGAGATACGATTTTCAATAGCAAACTGCATCCACGCAATATATATGATAATGCCAAGCAAACAGTGACTTCTATTAGATGGTCCTGAAGCACAGGATTTAGCTTTCTGGATCAAAATGATCAATTCTAGGCAAGGAAGAATGATACCATATGCCAGGGGAAAAAAGTAAATAAAATCCATACATAAAGAGGCAGGAGCATGGAATAGAGAATTTAGAAGAAAAAATTAGAGAAAACTAAAATAGAGGATACTTCAGACCATTCAGGTATTCACATCAAAATTCAAAATTGGCAATGAGAATACATAAAGCAGTACGTAGGGCAATTGATCCAGCCAGTATCGGCTGGAAATTTGATTCTGCTAACCAAGAATATTTTATACATTCTTAAGTTGCCTTTCTGATTGTGGAACTCCTCAGAAGATGGAGAAAACAAAAACAGAAACTTTTAGGATGGATGTAAATCTAACTAAGAGCTAATGGGTGAAAGAGAAGAGAGAAATCTCATAAGAAAGTCACTCTGGTGTTTTATCATTTTACCCAATGAAGAACGAACTACTGGGCATAACTTAATGTGTATCTTAAACATTTCAATAAGTTAGTAAGAGAAGGAGGAGGAAAAGGTTTTCTTAGCCAGAAACCCAAACGAGTGGGAACATTATTGAGTGTTTAATTTATAATGGTGTCATTCTAGATACTTCCACATGGTTATCTTGTTTAAATGGGTAAAACTACTCCATTAGGATGTAACAGTTTCAGACAGCTCAGGAGGGATGATGGAAAGTAAAAAGACAGTCTGAGAATCAAGCATGAGTGGCCATGTTGAGGACAAAAGGGGGTGACAAGAGCAAACTAAAGTGGATGCACTAGAAATTCTCTGATAAGATTGTTAAAAGAAAAAGTATCCATGATGGAAGGAAGGTGTTGGAAAGATAGGCAAGAAAAAATATATTAACCTAATGTTTAGAAGAAAGTGTGGCTTGAAGAATACAAAGATTTAAAATGACTTTTCAACATATAGCCAAAGCAAGAACAAGGAACAGTAAGTACGTGATTTATAGCAGATGCTGTAATATAAGTAACAGAGAGCAAGTGCAGAACTACTCATCAGCTGTTTGCTTCATACTTAGCCACCAGAGAAGTGATTTCCTTTTTTTTTTTTTTTTTTGGTGAGGAAGATATGCTCTGAGCTAACATCTATTGCCAATCTTCCTCTTTTTTTTTGCTTGAGAAAGATTAGCCCTGAGCTAACATCTGTGCCAGTCTTCCTCTATTTTGTATGTGGGTTGCCAGCACAGCATGGCTTGATGAGTGGCATAGGTCCACGCCAGGGATTAAAACCCATGAACCCAGGCTGCTGAAGTGGAATGCACCGGCCTTAACCACTATGCCATGAGGCCAGCTCCAAAGAGAAGTGATTTTTAAATATAAAAACTACTTAGCCAATATAATCACCAAGACAAAAAACAACAAATGTTGGAGAGGATGTGGAGAAACAGGAACCCTCATACACAGCTGGTGGGAATGCAAACTGGTGCAGCCTCTATGGAAAACGGTATGGAGATTCCTCAAAAAATTAAAAATAGAAATACCCTATGATCCAGCTATCCCACTACTGGGAATCTATCCAAGGAACCTGAAATCAACAATCCAAAGAGGCTTATGCACCCCTATGTTCACTGCAGCATTATTCACTATAGCCAAGAAGTGGAAGCAACCCAAGTGTCCCTCAACTGATGACTGGATCAAGAAGATGTGGTATATATATACGATGGAATACTACTTAGCCATAAAAAAGACAAAATCGTCCCATTTGCAACAACTCGGATGGACCTGGAGGGTATTATGTTAAGTGAAATAAGCCAGAAAGAGAAAGACAAACACTGTATGATCTCACTCATATGTGGAATATAAACCAACACATGGACAGAGAAAACTGTATTGTGGTTACCAGGGGCAATGGGGGTGGGGAGTGGGCACAAGGGGTGAAGGGAGACATGTATGTGGTGATGGACAACCAAAAATGTACAACCAAAAACTTCACAATGTTATAAACTATTAAAACATCAATAACAAAAAGGCACACACAAAAAAATTACTTAGCCAAGAGAAATGAAAATTAAGACCCCAATGAAATACCATTTTATACCCATAAAGTTGACAAAAATTAATAAGTCATATAATATCAAATATTAGAGAACATATGGATCATCAGAATCTCTCTGAAACATTCCTGGTAGGAATGTAATTCGATGCAATAACTTTGGAAAACAGTTGGGCATTTTCTCCCCAAGTTAAATGTTCATACATCCTGTGGCCCCTGATTCTTGTACAATAGAAAACATGAATAAGAATAGGCATTTCAAGCCCTTTCCATACCAGCAAAAACATGGATGCAACTCAAAAGGCTATCAACAAAAAAGTAAATGGATAAGCTATGGTGTAATTGCACAATGAAATATAATATGAGAGTCAAATCAAATAAACTCTAGTAACACACAAAAATATGGATGAATCTTAGAAAACAACATGAAGTGAAATAAGTAAGTACCAAAAGATTACATATAGCTTACTGCCCTTTTAAAAGTTAAAAATAACGAAAATTAAAAATATATATAATTATATATGTAATACATGTATATTCTATGTATTAATAAATATGCAAATAAATGAAAACTATATAAAAGGAAAGCAAGGGTGTCTTGAACATAGGATTCAGGATGATGGCTTCCTTGTGCGGGGAGGCAGGGTATGGGTTAATGGGGATGACCATACGACTACAAGTAAGATATTATCAAGGTCTTAGCTTTTCTTGCGATTGGTGGGTTTATGGGTAGTTACCACATTATTAGAAATGACTAAGTTACTAATTTAATAGAAGTAGGCCACTCATGGACCAACGATGAGAGTATGTCATGAATCCAGAGCTATGATTAACCCAATTCTGTGCTCCTACAGTTAAAAAACAATTAAAACTGAAAGTAAAAACCTAATTAAGATATAAATGCTTCAAAAAGCCCTGCAAGGAAGGAAGGTCCTGGTGAAGGAAGACATGAAGACATAAGTGTCTTGAACTGAGTTCAAGTTTCAAGACTCAAGGCAAAAGTAATCATATGCGGATGCAAAATGATGTTGGTCAACTCCAAGAAACCAGGAAGGCTAAGAGAAAATATCAGACTCCTGGGATGCTGATTTTCAAAATGAAGAAGGGAAGTCTCCAGAAACTACTTACAAAGAAGTTTGATATCAATCATCAAAATTTACAACTTAGATAAACACAGGGAAAGCACACTTACCAAGTCTGTGGTTAACATAAATGGAATGAGATATGTACCAGTGAATGATAGAACTGACCTTTAAAAATATTTCAGACTTGGACAATGGTCTGACTCTAATTAGAGAAATGACAACATTTACTTAATTAAAAAGTACATCAATTGTCAAAATACAGGTATGTGAGATAATAGGAACTCATAAATGACCTGGAATTTAGATTGACAGGCAAGCTCAAAAGGAGACAGAAATGCAAACTGGCCGCCAAAAAAATTAACGAATTCTTACAATTTATTTTAAATGTATAAGATCTTAAGGCAGAATAAGCAAAGATACAGTCCCAATGTGCACTACCCAGGTGAAGTCATAACTACCATACTGTGTTCAATTCATTTCTGGGTGGCACACATTGATAAAGGAGAGCACATGCAGTGTAGAATGAACTGAGTGATGAAAGTTGGGCATTCCTCGGATACATTTAACAATAAAAGGAAGATTACTTAAGTATGAAGGGGAAAATCTTGAGAGAAAGAGAGCATCATCAAATATTAGACCATCTATCAAAAGAGATTAGATTTAGCCTTAGGATACAACTAGAACAAATGTGGAGGCAGAATCTGCTCCAGCCACAAGGAAGAACTTTAACCATCAGCAATATCCTGCTCTCAAACCAGGAGCTTCTACTTTTTCAGCCCACTTGCTCATTGCTCCTTCAACCGCAGAGGATGACAGTCTATGGACTCCCTTACAATCTCCTTATTCATCAGCTCTCTCTTTCCTCATTTCCTTATTTATCCTAGTTAGAATCCAAGATCCAATGACGCAGCCAGTCTCATAGCAACATAAAAAACCCCTGTGATGCACTGTCCTTCAACAACAGTCTGGCAAAAATCTTTACCCTTGATGAATCTAACTTTCCACCTTCTCTGAATTTGCATTTAGTTCTGAGAACTGATAGAGAAAAGTCACACAACCAGGAAGACTGGTACTGCTACAAATTCCTGGAAAACAACCTAAGTCAGGTTTCTACACTGCCTGAGAATTCTATTTTAGTTTCTAGTCAGTATTCCATGCCAATTTCCACAGAAGGAATATCCTTCCTCTTTTATCTTTTTTTTTTTTTTAACATTTATTTTTTGTTTATTGCAGTAACATTGGTTTATAACATTATAATAATTTCAGGTGTACATCATTGTACTTCTATTTCTGCATAGATTACATCATGTTCACCACCAAAATACTAATTACAACCCATCACCACACACGTACCGAATTATCCCTTTCACCCTCCTCCCTCCCCCCTTCCCCTCTGGTAACCACCAATCCAATCTCTGTCCCTATGTGTTTGTTTATTGTTGTTATTATCTACTACTTAATGAAGGAAATCATACGGTATTTGACCTTCTCTCTCTTTTATCTTTTAACCTAGTGTTTTTTAAACTATGGGCTTCAACCCATTAATTGGGCATGAAATCTATTTAGTGAGTCATGATCTAAAATAATTTTTTTAAATTTAAATAGAACAGAAAATATCAGATTATACTGCTCATAGGAAAGGTATAATTTTACGAAAATTTTCTTTCAAGGTATCTATTTTTATGTTTTTGTAAACATACTAGGTAGACGTATTTCTTACTGTGGATTATGGTTTAAAATAAAGTTGGAAAGCCACAACTTTTCCCTCATTCTCTGTAACCTGTCCTCTCCCTTGGTTCCCATAGACTCAAGGCCTCACTCCACAAATTATTCCCTTGCCCATTCTACTGGGTCCTTCCCACCAGAATAGAAGCATGCTTGAATCTCTCTCTTCAAAAAAAAATAAACAAATGGCAAACAGACAAAAATAATCCTCCTTCAACCTCATAATTCCACGTAGATAGTCATTACTGTATATCTTTCTCCTCCCTCTCAATCTTCTCAGTAAAGAAATGTCTATGCCACAACTCCTCACTTGTGAATCTCTACTTACTTTCTCACAACACAGCGATCGCAACCACCAATAGCCCCTCTCCACAATCCTCTGAAACTGTGCTCACCATGGTCACATGATATACATATAATAAATCCTGGAGAATTTTTAATCCTTACCTTGTTCAACTCCTCAGCAGAATACCGCACACTTATTCCTATAGCTCCTACGCACGCTCACATTTAACATTCCCTCCTATTTTCTTTTAAGGCCTCCTTTTCTTCTAATCATCTCTTAAAATTCCTTGTCCTTAGAAGCTCAGCCCTAGGCCTCCTTCTCTTCTCATGCTGCCTTCTCTGCCTGGGCAAGACCATCTACTCCTATGGCTTCAATTACCTCCTAATGCTGATGAATCCCAAATCTGTATTAACAAGCCTTACCTGAGTTACTAAATGTCAGACATGAATGTTTTATCACATTTTTGACATCTCCACTTAGCTTTCTCACAGGAATCTTTAACATGTCCAAAATTTAATTTGTCATCCCTCCCCTTCACTTCAGGCCTGTAATTATTCTGGTCCTCCCTGTCTACTCAGCAGCCCAAGCCAGAAGCCTCAGAGAAACCCTGAATCCTCTTTTATATTCATCCCCTCATTCATCCTCCTGCTGCAAGGTATACACTCAGCAAATACTAGCTGTTACTATTTTTGCATGGTCAACTCATCATTCAACAGTCAAGGACTTCCTTAAACCTTAGACTAGGCAGCCCTCACTACTATGCTATGTAACATGTTCACAAAACTCCTAATAGTTCCTCTACCATTAAATTTATCAGAGTTTTTTTGTAATCATTTGTTTAAATTTTGTTTTCTCCAACAGTCGGTAAACTCTAAGAAGGCAGGTTGTGTTTGTTTTTTTCTTATTCACCATGTCATCTCCAATACCCTGATGCCCAGTGAGTATTTATTGAATGAATGAACGTTTGGAAAATGAGTGAGCTCCCCATAAATAAAACGTTAAAGGAGGAAAGAATGATTACCTGTCAAGGAAGTTACAGAGACTCATGCAACAAATGGAAAGTTGAGATTAATACCACTTAGGTTTCTAAGATTTAACAATACTTTATTTTAATCCCAAAATACATAGATTTTTATCCTTTATCAGATGAAAATGATTTCTCTTTATTAAAATTAAACACTAAAATCAAGACTATTTTTTACCTTTGCCATAATATCTGCATAAGCCATATATAAAAAATCTTCCTCCAGTTTGCTATGAAAAACAAGAAAAAACATCAGTTTTAAAGTAGAAGGCTAGCCATATGTAAAATTACCATCACTGTATACAATAACCTTTATCTTTCAATAAGTATGTCTTTTAAAAATGAAATAAACTCAAAACTTAGGCAAAGTAATCATTCAAAAATACAGAATCAGAAAGCAAAGATCTCAGACCTCCTAAATAGCTGTCCCACCTTACCTTCCAGAAGAGGCCTTCAAGTCTCACAAAATAAATGGTCTATTGATTTACACACAAATGTAATAACTTTAATTTTCTTGAAACTACAAAAGTTGAAATAAGTAAATTTAAATGACATAGGGGCTTTTGACAGTAGAAGTGATATTTGACATTTGATGGAAAGATTCCCCAAATTATTATGCTACTATATAGTTAAAAAATACAATGGTCATAATAATGACCATTGAGAAAATTAAGAAAGTTTAAATATGTTTATTAGCCTCTTTTTAAGAAGTATGGAAACCATTAATTTATGATGAAAGGTTTCTATCAAAAAATACCTAATATTTGTAAAGTTATGTTAGCAGTTTTAAAGTTCAGCCATCATAAAAATTCACTTATGAGAAATACCTCATTACCTGACAATGCCAGACAGAGAGTTGCTCTATGCTTAGGGATGAGATGATTTGTTAGTTAGGAAATAATAAGAGAGAGAGAAATAGTGAGAGAAGGATGGATCACAGTGGCTAAGAGAGAGAAATGTACATTATTATGGCATGCACAGAGGTCAAATGAACTCTTCAAGACTCTGAGAAGACTCATGTGGACATGGATTGATAATTAAATTTATCTCCCAGCTTCTGCAGAGAATGAGAGTGAGGCCTCGGGCAAAGGAGGCTTTCTTTCACATGGCAGGGAAGAAGATAATGGTTTTACAACCTCTGAAATGTCCCATCTACAGAGCCAATCTATGTAGTGCTCCTGTAATGAGCAGATGCTGAGCACATTTTGATTATCAGGCATATAGGTGCATTTCTTATTTAACTCCATAGAGGTTTGCCCTTTGTGGCTTCAGTGAATTCATATGAACAAGACTGTACAAGCCAAGAAAAATGGAGAATGCCCTTAAAATAGATCTCAAAGAAACATCCCATTGAGATGATGGCTTACCCATCTCCTAAAGGTTTCCTAAGACCCACTGCACAATGCAGACATAATCTACCCAGAAAATTCTGGGTCATCATTGGTTTCCAAACACTTTTGGTACTGAAATTTGCTTTGGGCTCTTTTGCTTTATTTATAAAGGCTGCTTGTGATAAAGAGAAAAACCATTTTATAAGAAGATTTAGAAGCAACTAAATCAGCTAATTACAAAGTTGTTAAGAAAAACTAGAGCTCATGGGTAGATATTAAAGCCTGAAATTGAATGAACATTGGTCCACAGGTGTATGCCAGACTGGTCATATCTTTGAATAACTCTCTCTCCTAACAAGAACAAGATGAAATTGGAACATGAATATGTGACACATAGAAACTCAGACACGGGTTTCTTTATTTATTCATCCTATGTCTCATACGAACCCTCCCAACCATACCATTTCTCTGTTAAAGCTGTTCGACTAAACAGAAGGATCAGCTGATGTAGAGGATCAACTCTCTTAGTGCCTTCATCTTCTTCTGGAGGTTCTGCTCCAGGTTTCTATAAAAAAGTCAAATTTATAAAATTTCACATTTAAATGAAATGTTCACTCAAATCCAGGAGCAATATGAGGGCTAAGAACAACAAATAAAAGGAAAGCCTTTCTCTTCCTGCTGTGGTATGTGTGTGTGTATTTTATAAGTATTATATATGTACATATGTGTGTGTACATGTGTGTTACATTATCAATGCAAAACTAAGCAGCTTTAAAAAAATATATATTTAATAGTTGTACCAAAAAACACTATGGGCAAGGATTATTTACATCATTTAAAAATTCTGGGGGCCAGGCCGGTGGCACAGCGGTTAAGTGCGCACGCTCCGCTGCGGCAGCCCGGGGTTCACAGGTTCAGATCCCTGGCGTACACCGACACACCACTTGTTAAGCCATGCTGTGGTGGCATCCCATATAAAGTAGAGGAAGATGGGCACAGATGTTAGCCTAGGGCCAATCTTCCTCAAGAAAAAAGGGAAAGATTGGCATCCGATGTTAGCTCAGGGCTAGTCCTCCTCGTAAAAAAAAAAAAAAAAAACCAATTCTGAATGCTATTCTTATAAGCAGATTCATAACTAACTAAAAGTGTATTTGCTACATAGATTTCAACTTTAGGGAGGGCTCAGTATACAAAGAATTGCAATAAAATGCTAAGTCACTCCAAGTATAAAAATTTAATTCACATAGTTATGTAAACTGATTATCAAATGAAACATTTTCTTCACCTACACAAACAATGAGAGGTAAAAAATGTTAAATGAGTTAATGCTTGAATCACTTACACATCATTTTTTAAAATTTTCAGTTACTTTTCAAACTTAAAAAAATAACTTCACACTATTGGATAGAACTTCTACCAGGAGGAAAATTATTAAGCATTTTTACTGACTGTAGAATTAATCAATCCTGACTTTAATAAATTTTAAATCTCTATTGACTTACTCTTCCACTCAGACTGATTTCTTCTCTATATAAATGATGTTCTTCTCTGGATTTAAGGTTGAATGTTGTGGGTACTAGGTAAATTTCTATAAGATATCCAATATTCTACGGGTTGTTTTGACTCTAAAGACAAATTGAATTCGTTTCAAATATGTGGGGGTAATCAGGGTTAAGATTTTTATGAATTAGATTAGTTTATCTATTATATTCCCTGATAATTTGAATTAAAAAAAATAACTTTTAGACAAGAGGTCTTTAACTTGGGAATCATGAAGCCTCTAACTAGTCTGCAAAATTCTGCAGGACCGTATGCTTGTAAATTTTCCTGAGAAGATGGCTTTTGTCAGATTTTTAAACAGGTCACAACTTATTAAAGATTGAGATAATGGCTTCCCAGACTGCTGTACTCTCAGGAACACAAGCCTCCTTATCAGCGCGGCTAAACATAAATTCTATTTGCCACCTACTCTATCTACCATGACTTCTTGCTCTTCTCGTGTCCAGTCTATCATCCTCTGCTCTGTGTATCTTTAAAAACCACTACTTTTCATTGGATTTTGTTAACTTTCAACTTATTTTTGGTGAATAGCTTCTTTACAGTTCAGCTTTTATAGTTCTATCCTGGTTCTGAGGGGTTTAAAGGTGCTTTAAGGAAGAATTTAAAAGAATAACAGAGTCAAAGCTTAGTTAATAATAAACTTGTATTATTCATCTTAAATTCAGAATTGCTTGATGTTGATGAGATCTCTTTAAAATAAGAAGAGTGAATTTCCCCTTAAACATCGAATAGAGTATAAAAAGAGAATAGAATATAGAATAAAAAGTTGCCCAAGACCAATACACTGTAATGACATTTTCTCTTCAATGTTATAACTATTCACACCAATGTTATTCCAGTCAAGCTCAAACCCTCTTTCATCTTATAAGCCCATTAAAAACATACTGCTAAATCTTCTATCAACTTGTCTTCAAAGTAATGTTCTTCCGTTTCAATCCAAGACTTTTCATATCCTTGAAGAAAGAGATTGACAGCCCGATGCCTAAAAGATAAGTACAATTTCAAACAAAGGTTGTTTTTTTGTTTAATAAATTGAAAAGGTATTCAGTAGTGCTTTATCACTAGATTATCTGTGCAGTAAAAGAATAAAATAAAAATAAACTTCCTACTCTTGATTGGAGAGGCAATATACTGTAGTAGATAGAGCAAGGTTTCTCAGAACACATACTGACTTAGATTTAAAACCTGGTTCAGCCATTTCCAAGCTTTGTAACATTGGTCAAGTTATCCAACTTTGCCAACTTTCATTTTTCTCATTATAAAACCAGGATAATCCTCATCTATACTTAAGTTTTGTGAGACTTAAAATGAGACAAAGAATGTAAAGCACATTGGATAGATGCTCATTAAATGGTAGCTATTATGACATCAAGCAGCTCTGGATAAACAATGTAATAAGTGTCAATAGAGGAATTATTCAGTTTTTGAGTTACCATTAGATACAGGCCCTGAGGATTACAAAACAAAATGCATTAAGTGAACTTTATGGGAGTATACATATAAAGATTAAATCTTGGGATACTGATGATAAGTGGAAATAAAAGAAGACCAGAGAAGACTATAAGAATCAGCAAATGCATCATGAGGTTGAGAGATGTGGATAAAATTGAAATATAAGAAAGGATAAAAGAAAGTTGTGACTTTCTTTTAAGTTAGTTCCATAAGTTAGTTCCATACTAGTTTTATGTTATTCCCATAAGTTAGTTCCACATAAACAACAAAGAACATCTATTGTGTCAAGCTCGGTTCTAAGCACTCTGTATACCTCAACTCATTAAAGAATCTGAAGAACTCTGAGGCAAATCTTACCATGGTGCAGATGAGAAAACTGTACCAAAGCCAGGTAAGAAACTTGACCAATGTCACATAGCCATAAGCTGAGACGTCAGGATATCAGTGAAAGCAATCTGACTCCAAAGAAAGAGTTCTTAGTTACTCTATCTTGCCTCTCATATGTGAGTAGATCTGTCTCAGTACTGAAAAGTCATTTAACTACATTACAGAACACAGTTCTCTGAGAATACCCAACAAAGACAAAGTCAAGTATTACACAGAAGAGCCAATAAATTTCTTCCATCCTTCTCTTGGACTATCATACTCATGTTAATGTAAATGCTAGACTCCTACCATTTATTAGGGCAAAAATAACTTTAATCTACTATAAACATTAAAAGAATTCTGACCTTGGCAGATTATACAAAGGAGCCATTCGGAAGCAGGCTACCACTGCCCTTTTCCTTTGCTTAGAGAGCAGCTTGTGCCATACAGCCTTTTTAGATCTCTGAGGATGTTCCACCTGAGGTAAAATGACACAAAGAAATAAATATTTAAACCTCAAACTACCCTCAAAAATACAGTGTTAAACAGCTGCACCTCTTTAGTAAAAATTTTTGGAATTCCAATTCCTAAAATTATTATGAAAAGCCCGTATCTTAAAAGTTACCCAATGCTAAATGTGAAATAGTTTCAAATGCTACATATTTTCCTTAGTAAAAATATAATATTTTCCCAATAGTGTGTACTGTAGAAGCTATGTCATCTCTAAAATCAAAGAAATATAAAATCATTCTATATAAACTCATTTTGCATCCTTCTCAGAATCTGGTTCTTCATGGTTCTAAAACATATCTTCCACCTACACAAAAAATTACCCTACTCTAACTGTATCCATTTTAACTAATTTTATCATAAGAGTTACAGCAGTAAACACGAAAAGGCAGTTAAAAGAACATTTAAATGAAAATCTACTGCTCCTTAATATAATAGGATGGAGAGAAGATGACAAGGCTTCATGAACACATTACTAGGAGTGAGTAAGAGTTTAATTTTGCAAAAATGTTAAAATATATAACGATTTTGTTAGATAGGGACAAATGAGAATTCAAAAGTTGCAGTAAATGATGCAAGCAAGCTATTTATTTAGCTAATGGCATTTGGAACTCCAAGAGGAAAAAGAGATTAATTACAAGTATTAGAGAGAAAAAAAACCCCAACATGTAACTCTAAATTAATTAGTAATCTCTAGGCAATTTAACACTGTACTTCCCGGATTGTAATATCTCCGGCGCATACATGTAGATTTCTGAAAGAAATAAAAATGTTATGTTAGCTAAAAAAGTAAAACTAAGTTTATTATCCTTTGCAGTAAAGGGTCAAAATATGAATGTATTAATGCCTGAAGAAAACATTAAGAATGTTTGGACTGCAGTAGTTTAGAAATTTGAACAAAGAAACTTGTCTAATTTGAAAGCGTTTATTTCTGTGACCTTCTTCCCTCCATAAGGATCAATACACACTTAATTGTCCACTTCAATTTCTTCTTGATGATTGTTAAGTGAAACAAAACATTGTTGAGACTTAATATTGTAGGTGAACACAGAATCAAGGGTAGTGTTATTCAACTACACCCAACGCATTTCAACCTAAAGTTCCATTTTGAGATCCAAAACTGTAAATAGTAGCTTTTTATGGGAATACAGCATTCAGATCAGCATGGGTGACAGTCAACGAATATGATTAAGTACCGAGGCACTGGAGATACAGTAGTGAACACGGTAGAAAAGGTCTCTGCCATCGTGAAGCTTACCATTTTGTAGAGCATTTTATTATAAAAGGAAAGACCTTAAATAGTGGGTTTTCCTATAAATCAAATAAATAGATATTGGGAAGATCTGTAATCCAAAGGTGAACACCAAGGTGTATCTTTTGTTAGGAAATTCAAAGGAGACAGCTTATTCTCATGAGAAAAATTACCAGATGTACATACAAAACATAAATTTACAAAGGTCGCTGATACTTGAGATAAATCAAATCAAGTATTTCTTGTGCACCCACTGTTTTGCACTGAGTTTACCAAGTGAACATATTCTTTGCAAACTACTCTACGACTCAACCACAAATTAACATTAGAATAGAGGTATTAAAGGCATGCATTCTACACACAGATATCTTCCACTTTTTTCTATTCTTTGATAATTGACAATTTCTTTTTACTCAAAAATGCTCCTTTCATAATAAACCAACTCTGTCATATCCTTAACATTTTGAAGAATATCTGGCCTGAACTAAAATCTGACCCCCTTACCCTTTCCTAGATAATTCCTACTTCTCCTTTAAGATTTACACAGGGATCACCTACTTCACAACTAGATGACACTGGGGCTCCTTTTATATTCTCTTCAGCACATTTTATCTTAGCACATCTATGCCACTACATATTTATTTATTTATATATCCACATTCTCTACTAGAACATGAGCTACTTGAGTAGGGGGACAGTAGCCAACCTCCAGCACCTGCAGAGTACAATGCTGCCATATGGTAGTGCACTCAAGAAACGTTCATGGAATGAACAGCTGCTTAGTAAAAATGAATCTCACTACTTTGAAAACGACATCATCATGATGGCATATATTTATGAATATATAATACATGTATATAATGAAACATAAGCAGATTTCAATAAGTTTCATTTAATGTATCTAAAATTCATTCACACCAATCCAGAGATGTGTACGAAAATCAGGAAGAATAAAAGTTATGGTAGAGTAAGGGCTGCCAGAAATGGTCCTCCAGCAGCCACTTAATTAACATTTAATAATCTTCTTAAATATGTATATAATTCTGAAAACACAACTCTATGACTTTATATAAATCACTTAAAATTTCATCACGTCAAATTTTGTCATTTGCTGATTGATGATAATTTATATTTATTTAATATTTCATGAAAATATTTAGGGAAAATATTAAGTTCCCTAAATTGTGTTATATTATATTATTAATACGTTACATAATATAAATACATGTTGATAGTCATATGGTTAAGAGTATCTTAGTTTAATCCCATCACATGTAGCGATAAATTGCATGGCATTGGAGAAGTTATTGGCATTTGGGGGGCATTTGAGTAAGCAAGAAGGAAATTTAAAAACTACTACATTAGATGATATCCTTATGTTATTTAACTGGCACAACAGGGGTGGGAGATCACCAGGTACTATAAAATAGGAATCAAAGAAAAATGTTTATTATTGCTATACTAATATGTTCTGCAGAACATTTAGGTGACAAAGTTCCTGATAAGACATTGGGCATTTTATTATTTTATGCTCAGTGTAAAATAACCATATGCCACATCAGGCAAGTACTGTCACAGAGGCCCAATGACATCACACTGTTGGGCTCACAATGCGCTCTCTCACTGCTGCTACTTTGTTGAATGGGCCTCATGAGAAATAGAGACTACATCTCTGTATTACAGATATTTTGCCTAAGCCAGAAGATTCCTCATACAAAAATATAACCCAATGATTGATAATGTTTCAAATATTATTGGTTTGGGAATTCTTGAGCAAAGGCAATGAATAAAAAAATCAAACACACAGTGAGCTTTGTAGTTTAAAATAGGATACAACTGAAAAATTATACAAAAAGACTATTCTCAAATGGTTTTAATATCCATCAATTGCTCTTCCCTAAAAGTAATTTATTGCTGATGCTGAAGAAAATTAGCTCAAAAAAATCTCTCATAAAAAGAAAGTTTAAGCAAGTGACAAGAAAAATTCAAATATTAATCCAGTGAAAGACAGTATCTCAAACATGTTGTTATGAACAGTAATAAAAAATGATACAAGCATAAAACATTTGAAATCAGGTGTAACTCCTAAAATTTTTGTTAGAATGAGTTAAAATTACGTATATAATCCTAATTATCTGTATACTTTTAGAAATATTTTGAAAAAGACAGTAAAACAAAGGCCTTGATCTCTCCAAATACATTATCTATATATTGCTGCAAAAATTAGAAGTTTGGAAATTGTGTTCATTAGATACTAATATCTCCGGAGCCATACATTCCTTATAAGGAAAATGCTGAACATATATATTTTCTGCTCCATAATTAACAAATTAACACCGATTCTCTTTTAAAAATGTTTTTAGATGGTCACGGAAAATATAACTGAATCAACACAAAATCTAACCTGTTCAAGATGAAAAAGCACATTTGCTATATCCAATACTCTTTCTACTGTCTTCTCAGGATCTGAAGTATCTTCAGTCCTGTTTGGTAAGTCTTTGTAAAGAGCCATTTGCCATCTAATAGCAGGATCCTCCAACTGCAGAAGAAAAAAAAAGTTCACAAAATACAAGGTTACAATGTAAAGAGGGGAAGACCTACTTCTGAAGAGTCAATGTACAATTATTGAGCATAGCACAGTGTCAAAACAGTAGGCAGAGATCAAGACAGAGAAGGACCTTGTACTCAAGAAATTTATCATCTAGTGGGGAAGAGGGACATTAAACAAACATTTACAATTAAGATGAGGGCTACTAAAAAGAAATATAAGGTACCATGAGATTTAACCTAATCTGTTGGTGGTTGGGAAGATTTCTGTAAACAAGTGACGTTTCAACTAAGATTTAAGGATGAGTGGGAGACAGCCAGGGAAAGCAAACAGGCAATCTTTTATCTTTCTCTTCTCCTTCCACAGTCAAACTCTGAAAGATGTATGTATTCTTTTATAGACAATGATATAGGATCACATTTATCTATAAATATAGGGACTACAATAGAGCTTAGTCTCACTAAAACAAAAATATCAATTAATATAAATAGAGGGCTATAAAATCATATTCTTATAATAAAGGAGTCTATACATTCTTCTTTTCAATACTGTCCAATTTCCTGAAAGATAAAACTGAATTCCATATGTTTTTAAAAAGGATTATTACAATTCATAGAAACTGACAAATATAAGCATCTTTACAGGGGATAGAGTATGTTACTTCAAACAAATAATATAGAACAACTATTCACTAACAAAAAGGTAAAGCAATTCCCTTATCTGTTCCTCCCCTTTAAAATCTCCATTAAAAACGGGAGATGGAGAGCAATGAAGCAGAAGTAAATGGACACCACCTACATCTTCACAACCCCTAGTCTGAGAAAGCACAGTTTGAAATGTCAAAAAAATCCTTCTTCTAGAGGCAAACATAGAAACAGAGCTCTGTACACTGAATGACCTATAAACTCCATTTGCCCTTAGATAAAACAAAGGTCTTTTTCTCCATATACTTTTTTCATCTGAGGACTACTTTTGCTACTTCTAGATTTTAATATGCATTCTTACTTATATTTGGCAAAATAAATACAATCTTTATACTCTGTAATATATAATTACTCTCCCTGCCCCAGGATTACCATTTCTACAATTTCAAGACAATGTGTTCAAGAAGGAGTTGGCAACAAAAGACTTCATTTTTTGCAAGTCTTTATATCTCCATAATATATGTACCTAACTCCCAGCATAAAAATCTATAGAATGAAATGTCAAAAAGAATATGTATTCATTATCTTTTTATGTTCTGGTCTCATTCATTTGGAGGTGAAATATTGATTATAAATGTGTTTCCTTTTCCACTCTCCTCTTTCTTGCCAACTCCCCAAAACACAATATAAATTGTCCAAAATATTCCTACAAGTAACCTCTAGAATATAACGGAAGAATTTCTTTCTGCTTATCCAAGACATAACCTTTTTTAATTGACCATTTCCTGAGAGTGGCATAAACCCCCTCCTAAGAGGTACTAAACATTTCCTGTCTCTGCTCTGTGGTGATTGTCCTAGACCATGGTTCTCAGAGTGTGGTTTGGAGTCCTTTGAGGCTCTTTCGGGGGTACGGAATCTCCTCAAACACCCAAGTAGGTGGCACCAACTTTTCACTTGAGGTTCAGTTGGAGGCTTTAAGAACATTTTAAAAAAATGATAAAAACCTTTTTGCTATCTGAAAAGAGATCATGCACTAATAGGAATTAATCTTCTACTCTGGAGAAGTTATTACTAAATGTATGACTGAGTACACATCAAAGTGCATGTGAAATTCGCTCTATATAAGTATTTGTGCATTGTGAATATTGTAAAGGCATGTCTCGCCTTTATCATATTATATTCCAAAGTATTAAAAGAAAACGAACATGGCTTGAATCTTTGGAAAGAAACAATTTAATACCCAGAAAGGCATACATTATACTGCAGTCACTACTTTTTGACATTTGGACATTTTTATAATTTAAAAAATTCCTCAGAAGGGACATCAAAATAGAAGCAAATAGGCTAAGTCAAAATAATAAATTGTTAGACTTCTTACATTACGTAACACATTCTATAAACAAACGAATAATTCATCCACTAGTATGAAAAATTTCCAAATAATAGAAAATGCTTACTAAACCACAAAAACTACTTCTAGTAATTCTTTCACCCACCATTAAAAAGCAGATATTATCTTGGTTTCCATTCATGTTTTTCTTCTAAAGGTACACTTGCCTTCCTAGGTCAATTCACTTATTTCTATTGCAGCAATTCTCAATATCGCCTATGTACTAATGACTCTTAAATACACAAATTTAATTACTTAGCACTAGATGTAAAATCTCAAATTGTTATAGACACCTGTCTCCATTTCCCAAAGGTCTTCAAACTCAGCCTTATGAAGGAAATTTCCAACCTTTGTTTCAACTGGTGACATATTTTTTTCAAAGTCTGACATCTCTGATGATCTTTAAAAATACATCATTTATTACCATAAGAGTCTTTAACACAAAAGGATTTGCAAGTAAGATAATGCTGATTAAAACAATACATTTTCAGTATCTTAATTGCTAAAGTAACATTATTTGTAGTACTATTCTCAAGAGAGATTAACTAATTTATGGATACTAAATGTGCTTTAGAATAAAATTTGGCTTACCTTGCCTTGTAAATGAATATTATTGCGGATTATATCTCGTACTTCATCCTCAGTGTCTTTCTGTCAAGAAATATATGTTACCTAAAAGAAGTCTTATAATGCATCACCTGTCACAAGTCAATAGAAATAACTCCAACTTCTTTGGAAATGGTATATGTCTGAACAAATATCATTATAGGATTGAAATACATGCCACAAATTTTGGGGGTTCTCTTTTAGATAATTTCAGACAATTTCTTTTTTTTGGTGAGCAGGACTAGCCCTGAGCTAATATCCGATGACAATCCTCCTCTTTTTTCTTGAGGAAGATTGGCCCTGAGCTAACATCCGTGCCCATCTTCCTCTACTTTATATGGGACACCGCCACAGCATGGCCTGACAAGTGGTGTGTCGGTGCGCACCCGGGATCCGAACCTGCGAACCCCGGGCCGCCAAAGCGGAGCGCGCGCACTTAATCACTTGCACCTCCGGGCTGGCCCCCAGACAACTTCTTGATACTGCTGTGACTTGAAACAAGACAACAACCTACTTTAACTCCACAGTAAGTGCATACAGACTCAACGGAACTGAATTTCCAGTTCACAAGAAGTGGGGTAGAAGCCTGTTCCCTTGGGTTCAAACAGAAGTACGTCTCCAGCAGTCTCCAAAATCTCCACAAAGTAATTTTAGCATTTAACAACATCCCCCATGATCCAGTAATAATGAAGAGCATACCCTGAGAATCAAATATTAGACAACCACCAACAGAACTGCATCCTGCAGCTCACTCTGCCACAACCTCCTCTCAATTTGCTCATTAGGATATCACACTCTGGATACACAGAGGAGTGCTTCAGTGCGGGAACAGGCGGAGGAAGAATATGTCCTCCAATTTACATAAACATAAATTAGTAATCCTAATGTATATTTTTGAAAAATTGCATCCTCATCTGTGTAGCCATGAAGGCGAAAAACAAGGAAATCTTGAGAACTAAAATCCTGATGCTTGCAAAGGAGAACAGCTGCTGATTTAAAAGTTAACACCTCATCTAAGCACAATCAGCACAACACATCATGCTTCTAACATTGAAAAGTCACCCTTCATAAATTTGAATACACTTCTTATCACGAATTTTATATAGGAGTTCATATGAAATCCATTTTTTTTTTTTCCCACTACCAGCGACTTGTTTGTTTGGTTTACATTTGGTTCCTGAATATGCCCTGGAGGTGTTTAACATAATTTAGAAATAAAAGTCAGCCTCCAAAAAAAAGTAATAATAATCTTCGTATCTGAGTCTTAGAGCCTTGCCAAAAAACCACTTAATAAAACATTTAATGCAAATGAAATATTGACATCGAGCAGTGAAACAAAGGAGTGCGACACTTTACAGTCTGGAGGTCGAATGGTCATTACCACTGCTATGAAAAGGAAACTTACCATACTAAATCGATTTTTGGCCAGAGCAATGAGCTCCTGGTCCCCAGGGGCACAAATGTTCAACCCAATGGGCAGTAATCGCTTCAGCGCTGCTACAATAAGAGAGGTCTGCATGGAATATCGATCTCCTTTGCGCTTCATTTTCTTCCTTTCCTGATCAGAAACAGCTGCCTGTGGAACAAAGATAAGCGTTGGAATCTGTGACTGCTTTTCTCACATTCAGAACTATGAACCTTTTCTAACTTGTGGTTTCATCTTCCTTAGTTTCTGATCGTCCTTATTTTTGAAAATTCTACTGAGAATAATTCTTCTCTTTCCTTCTTAGCATCTCTTGCTAATTTTAAGTCCTACCCTCAGATTCCCAGGTCATTATACAATTCACTAGTATGCATATCTATATGATTTTAGAAGGAAAATGCACATTGAAATTTTAGAGAAGCAGAAGGATATATGAAAAATTTATGGTAATTTCAGACATTGTATGTTTTATAATTTTCAATGCTTAAGAGGGAAAAAGAATTAAGAATAAATGGTTTATTTTTAACAAATGCTTGCTTTGCAATACATACACACAAACATATATGGTTTATAAAATACATTTGCCTTTTATAACGTCTGCAGACCTGTCCCCCCAGGGCCTTAATCCCTATCTGGTGGAAACAGGTGTAATATACTAATTGGTAGTATGCAAAGGATTATCTCTGGATGGCCTGTTTACAAAATAAGTACAGCCATGCTACTTCAGGTTTCTCTTGTGATTTTACTGAAGGTTATGCTCATGCCACAGAGTCACCTCAAAAGACAGAGGCTAATTTTCACTGGGTAGTGAGTATTCTCATTTCTATTAAGAGGGCGCGTTCTGATGTCAAAACTAAAATAATTGTCCCATATTCACTTCTTTGTGCATGTTAAATCTCTTTGTAGCAATCAATCAAACATCGAAGATATTTTCATGATAATGACATATTGTAACAGTTTTGGGCTACTGAGAAAAAAAACAGAAGTTCATATACAAATGATTTGCTTTTCCCAAAAGAAGGCAAAATAGATCACAATGTGATGTTGAAAGAAGTTTTTGCATAGTGAAAGTAGTGAAACAATTGAGTCATCATATAGTAATGGTAGCTTATATATTATGTTAATAATATAATACATATTATATAATGTATATAATATATCATTACATATACAGTATATATTGATATATTATATCAAAACTATAATATCTGAACCACAGCAATAAGAATTGTATTCACTTTCCAAAAAGATATACTTATTGCATGGATCTCTCTCTTTTTTTTTTTTTCGTGAGGAAAGTTAGTCCTGAGCTAACATCTGTTGCCAATCCTCCTTCTTTTTGCTGAGGAAGACTGGCCCTGGGCTAACATCCATGCCCATCTTCCTCCACTTTATATGTGGGACGCCTGCCACAGCACAGCTTGATAAGCAGTGCGTACGTCCATGCCTGGGATCCGAACTTGCAAATCCTGGGTCGCCAAAGCGGAGCACGTGAACCTAACCGATAAGCCACCAGGCCAGCCCCAGCATGGATCTCATTTTTATCTGTACCAATTTGTAAGAGATTATTCTCAAAAATTTTAGTAGAAAAAGCACAGTGAATAATTATTTGTACTATTAAATTGATTAACCCATAAAAATAATGGATCAGTGGTTTTAAATGAGCTGTTTGCCAAAAGGAAACATAACCACAGTGATAAAAATAATTATCTAAATGAGGAACTACCATCTACCATCCTAAAAATTAAACAAATTGATACAAATTATGCAAACATATTTTTATCTAGTACTGGTAATTTAGTTTCAGCAAAACAATATAACCCAATGCATTAAAGTCTAAATTTTACTGATGTTGGAGTTTCTTTGATTTTAACTGGTAAAGTTCTTTTTATTTTATGGTTATATAAGCAGAAAGAGCTTATACCTGGTTTGATATTTATAAATATTTAAGCGACTTTATAATGAAAATAATTTAAATCAACACTAAAGGCAACTATAAATTGCTCAATTTTGAGAAACAAAAATTTAACAGAGGACCATGAAAAACAGAAGAATTTTCTAATATTCCTATATTGAAATAGCCTACCAATCCCTCCCAAAACATAGATATTTATGATTTAAAAAAAAATTTTAGATATACTAATTATAAAAGTTAGCCTAATTGTTAAAAAGACAAGAGGTAAGTTTTGGCAAGGATATGGAGGAAAGGGAACCCTTGTGCACTTTTGGTGGGAATGTAAATTGGTTCAACCATTATGGAAAACAGTATGGAGGTTCCTCAAAAAATTAAAAATAGAACTACCATATGATCCAGCAATCCCACTTCTGGGTACATATCCAAAGGAAATGAAATCAAGCTCTCAAAGACATATCTACACTCCCATGTTCACTGCAGCATATTCACAATAGCCAAGATATGGAAACAACCTGCGTGTCCACCAGTGGTTGAATGGATAAAGAAGATGTGGTGTACATATATATACAACAGAGTATTATTCATCCATTAGATAGACGGAAATCCCGCCACTTGCAACAACATGGATGAACCATGAGGGCGTTATGCTAAGCGAATAAATGAGACAGAGAAAGACAAATACTGTATGATCTCACTTATATGTGGAATCTAAAAGAGCCAAACTCATAGAAACAGAGAGAAGAATGGTGGTTACCAGGGGCTGAGGAGTGGGGGAAATGGAGAGATGTTGGCCAAATGGTACAAACTTCCAGTTATAAGATGAATAAGTTCTGGGAATATAATGTACAATAAAGTGACTATAGCTAATAATACTGTATTATATACTGGAAAGTTGCTAAGAGCATAGATCTTAAATGTTTTCATCACAAAAAATAAATGGTAATTATGTGACATAATGCAGGTGTTAGCCAAGGCTATGGCATTTATCATGTTGCAATACATAAGTGTATAAATCAACAGGTTGTACACCTTAAACTTACACAATGTTAAATGTCAATTATATCTTAGCAAAACTGGAAAAAATAGTGAGCCTAGCTTTAAACAACTAATACCAGTTGCTACATTTCAGCAGGAATTGAAATCTTAAGAAAAAATAGAATAACATTCTATAACGTAACAGGCAAATCCCACTATTTTTTCTCACATCAACAAACTGACATAGAGAATCTGTAATAGATGCTATCTGTATATGTTTTTAAAACAAGTTATGAAATTAAAAACTTCAGCAATGCTAGCCATCTAATGATGCAATATTATATATCTTGTACCACTGTAATAGCAAGTCAGGGAAAACAACAGTAAAAATAAAACACACAAAAAACCCTAGATTAAAGGTTGTTAAAGTCAAGTTTTAATTTGTCCGTATTAATTAAGTAGCTGCTATGCATTGCGCTTTAGAGTTACCAAGTGAATCAAATATGTTCCCTGCCCTGAAGAACGTATAGTCTAAAAGAAGCCACAGATGGACTGCAGCACAACGGCCCAGGGCCCTGCTGAGAGTAACCAAGGGCTAAGTGAGCACATAGGAGGGAGCGGGAGGAGGCAGGCTTCACTGAAGGGAGAGCACTCACCAGGCTACATATTAATTGGTACACTAATAGCCACCTGCTGTAGTCACTACCACCATTTCGAATGCCCCAGGCAAGGGCACAGCAGGGGTTCCATATCGCACACATGTGGTTACTCTCCTCCTAAGAGCATTATGGCCCATAGGCACTGGCCTCTCTCTACCTCATAGGCTACATGCATTTTGCTTTAAATTAAAATGAAGTTCCCTATCCCAGATTACCATATTCCAAATGGGTCTGCCGGCCTCAGTCATCTATTTCATATTCTCTTCTAATTTGGAAAACAGCACTCCATAAATAGCAATGATCCCTGCTTGGGTGATTAACTGAAGACTGATACATGACAGTTTGTCCTCTGGTTTGTATTTGAATTTGGTCTAAATCCCTCTTCAAAAGTTCCTTTTTCCTTCAGGACTCGGCGAGGGGAGTGGATTTAACTGCTGCTGTGATGCCTCAGGCACACGGTTTGAGGTCTTGTCACGGGAAGCCCTGAAGCTTTCTGCACCGCTCTGCTCTCAGCATTGCAAGGGGAACATCTCTCTGTCCATTTCAGCTTTAGCTGTAAGTTCTATGGCCGTCTCCTGTTATCCATTCTCGGCACTAGATCTAAACAGGACAGCTTTTTGGGAGAGATGTCACTCATCCCTTGCCTACATCCCACTTTTGGGTCCTTCATGCCATCCTTGGTCAGCAGAGCACCGCAAGGATACTGATAAAACTGCGGTTACAATGCTCCTATGGCCAACACAGTGATGCTCAAACCTGCCCAAATGCTGAAACACATGGACATCATGATTCCTTTAGTTAAGAAAATGTAACCTATTTGTGTTTTTGACTCCATTGTTTGAACTGGAAACATTATTTCTAGGAAAGAAGTTTATTGTACTTATGAGATATAAAACTTCAAGCACGTATGCAGACAAAAACAAAAACAAACTTGTAAAAACAAGAAAGCAAAGCATAATGAGTAATTTCTAAATTTTTCATCAATATTACTATTATTTGCTATCTGTCTTGCTTCAGAGTGTTAGCAGTCATATGGTAAAAAGACTAAAAGGTTTGAGAAAATTTGGGGGGAAAACATTAAAACTGAGATGCTCCAGGGCCGGCCTAGTGGCGCTGTGGTTAAGTTTGCACGCTCTGCTTCGGCGGCCCAGGTTCTCATGTTCGGATCCCAGGCACAGACCTATGTACCACTCATCAAGCCACGCTGTGTCAGCATCCCACGTATACAATAGAGGAAGACTGGCACAGATGTTAGCTCAGGGCTAATCTTCCTCACACACACAAAAAAATTGAGATGCTCCTATCCATTACTTTCAATTTCTTTCCCGAAAATAGGTGTAAATGTTACCATTTGTTTATAGTTACCTCTGCTGCTTTGAACATGTGCTTTGAGAATCACTGGACCAGAATGATGGAAAAGAAGGAAGAGAATGTCTATGGAAGGATACACAGACCTCTGCTCTAAAGAGCTTTAATTTATCTTGAGTTTGATGATACACTGGAATCACTGTCATCCTCCAAAGGAAACACTCACCTCTTACGTCCTTTCTCTACGCCTTTATCAACACTGGCCTAAATGGACAACATGCTGCCTAAGCAGAGAAATTCACTAACAGTTTTCAGTTCAAAACACTGGTAAAATGTGTACCCTTGGTATAGCATCTTCTGAAGAAGCATTTCCTCACTCTTCAGGCTTGTCATCCCAGAGGAAAGAAAAGTCATCATCTTCTGCGTGTGTTTCAAAAGCATGGTCACGTGCAGTAATAGCCGGCTCAAGTTGGATGAATGATCTAGGCAGGCAAAGCTTCAGCTGGCATGAGCTTCTAGTTCATGTGCAACCGTGTCAAATAGATGGCATTTAAAACTCTAAATAAGACTAAGTGTATCGAGTGATGTTATATTCCTGTCCAGGTGGTTGCCAACAAAGCAGGTCGGATGGACTAGTCACTCTTGGAGTAGAGTGGAGTAGGTGTACCTCCCATAGCAACTCTCTTCCCATAATTTATTGAGTTGGTAGAGACTGATTTCCTTGGCCAGATGTCCACACTATTTTGTATTTTTGGCCATTTGGCAGCATACTTTGTGTGTGTTACTCCATGTAATACATTCATTTTCTTATTTAGTGGTAATTCAAAAGATAAAGGCATGAATTTTAAAGTGTTTTGAAAGGAATATGAGTGATAGAGAAAACAAAAAATCTGGAGGCATACTTCCCACCTCATATGTGAGAACCTGGAATTCATGCATGTGGTTCTTAAACAATGCAGCTAATTATTTTGAGGTCTATATATAATAGTACACATATATTTACTCTTGATGAATATATAATATTGATTAGTTATATGTATATTATACTGACTGGCAATTTTGTGAACATGTGTGTGTACATTAAGCACGTCTTTTTATTCTGATGCTTTGACATTTTGGGGCCTTGCTGATCCTTGATTGCCCCTCCTAGGGCTAATTCCTGGAGATGGGAAATTACTTGCCTGCAAGCACACCTTTCATATACAAACCAGCCAATCCAAAGTCTATATTCCCCAATCACCTCCTTTATCTGGGCCTCAACCCACCTGCCCTAATCACCCCAAGACCAGGTACCAGACAACTAGGAACAGCCCTTACATCCCAGAGCCCACTGAAATTATTCAAACTAGCCAATCTATGTCAGAGAAACCTGCTTACCTGGCCTTGCCTGTTCCTTCCTACAGAAACCAGGTTCTTGCCCCCATTTTTCCTGCACTCTCTCTGCCTCATGACTAACCCTGATGCTTCTGCCCATGCCCCCATTATATGCTGTGCCTTCTCTTTCTAGGAAACAGTGAGTAAAAACTTCTCCCTTCATGACAGTCATTGTGTCTGCATGTCTTACCATACCTAATTAAAACAAATTCTGGCTACCCTTAAAACTCTGTGTGTGTGTGCTTAATCAGTAAACGACATTACCAAATCTATCCAATTTCAGTTATAAACCTTCAAAAATCTAGAAAAAAATCAACCAATGAAAGTTATATTCAGACATTTTCTAGAACAGTGAAATAGATTATATCAATACCTTTGACATCTTTGATTTGGTATCAGTAATAAGGAAAGACATATTGTTGATTTCATTCTGTACCACGAAGTTCTGCTCTTCTCTTTTGAAATTCTGAAAAGTTGCAAAGGAAATCTCAGTTAAAACCACACAGATAATAAGTCCATGTAATTAGAGGTTATACAGGACCCAAAAGTTTCTACAAAGATAGTAGTAATTTGATATATAAGATTTATCAAGAAAGAGGACAAATATTTTTTTGAATATCCATGAGGGCACATGGCTAGGGGCAACAATTCTGGGAACTAGATATAAATATGTATGTTTCAAAGATGGGAAAACTAAGGTTCAGAAAATTTGAGTAACAAAGTCACACACCTACCAAGGGGTAGAATGAATACTCAAACCCCAATTCAGCTGGTGAAAAGCATATACTGCTTCTTGGGATAAACATAGACTTCCCAAGGCATGCACAAATATGATGTAACTTTCCATTCTGTCAGATATTTTATCTACTTTTTCAAATACTCTAACATTATTGTATTCACTTTAATTTAGGAACATAAAAACACTGGCAAAGTCAAGTGTTTGAGCAGTGGTAGCAGAGAAAGCAAACACAAAATGAAAGTAGAAATAACCATAGAGTTTTGAAAGAGAAGTTAACTATCTTTTTTAGATGAGTAAAACCTAAATAAAATAGGGGCCGGCCCCGGTGGCGCAAGCGGTTAAGTGCGCGCGCTCTGCTGCGGCGGCCCGGGGTTCGCTGGTTCGGATCCCGGGCGCGCACCGACGCACTGCTTGGCAAGCCATGCTGTGGCGGCGTCCCATATAAAGTGGAGGAAGATGGGCACAGATGTTAGCCCAGGGCCGTCTTCCTCAGCAAAAAAAGAGGAGGATTGGCGGATGTTAGCACAGGGCTGATCTCCTCACAAAAAAAAAAAAAACCTAAATAAAATAATTTCATAGTAAGTGTCTAAATATGTAATAATTGATGACTAATAAAAGATATGTGAAGGGCAGTGAAAAGACTAACTTGTGACTTTTATTCAGCTCGTATTAACATTCTAATTTTATTATTAATAATAATATGGCTGCTCATATAGTTTCATCTTTAAATATATGAGGAAGAATATATATGACACATATTAAAAAATTTGTTTTAAATATATTCCTGAGATTCAAAAGCACATATTCAGATTTTTTTCCTATCCTTGAAAGTATCATCAGACGTTCATCTAAAAACCTAGTGATTATGATAAATACACTTCTTCCAAAATTTTGTCTTGTATATAAATTTAAAGAAGCTTCTTTGGTATTTTAGTGATTGAGGAAGTTGAAGATTCTCAGTTCTTCAAGGAAAAATATGCAGTTTTTAGTTTTCTTAAGTGCTTTACTCCTGGGCTTTGGATTTCAAAATTTTCTTCAGAAGTACCCTGAATGATCTAATGCATCCCATTTACATGAGTTACACAGGATAAGAAATCATTTGCTTTTATCTAGAGGAAAATAAAGAATCTAAAAGATTTCCCATGATATCACAGAAAATGAATGTCAATGTGAAGATACAAATTTACATTAAAAATGCCATTATTTCATATATTATTTTTGTGTGATTATAATTTTTTAATGTATGTTTTTACATACATTTTGATATGATGTTTGACGGACTCCTCAGAGGTAGGCAACAAATAATATTCATTATCCTAAATATTAAGTAGGAAAATTTTATTTTTAAAAATATTACATTACAAAGTAATAGGATCTGTATAACAATCTGATGAAATAAACTGGGAAGATACCTAAAATAATGAAACTGAGGTTGAGGTTTTTATTTTTACTTTCTCCGAGTCTCCCATTTATAAAGTACTATAGAATTACAGTTGATCCAAAAATTCTAAGCTTTTGAAATAATTTGGGACAATAATAAAATGCTCACTTACCCATATTCTGCTACTTAATTGGAAATAATTATAGAATACTATAAAATTCTTATGATTAAAATCTTTTTCATATTTAAAAATAGATAGTTCTACTTGCAATATACAAAAGAGTTAAAATTCACTAAGGATGTACTTTATAAATTCTATCAACAGGATTCCTAGCAGGAGCTTTATTTTATTCTAAGGTGAGTGAAAATAAACTCCTATAGAAACAAAAGTGTGTGATGATAGAAGAAATTTAAAGTAGTACCTTTACAAGTAAAACAGGTGTGTCCTATGATTGAAAAACACCAGACTATCTCAGCATTTCTCAAACTGAGGCATGAGTACTGGGGTTAGATAGCAAAATGGCAATAGAGAAGGAAGGCTGGAGGATAAAAATGCTGTGTCTCTAGGCTATATTACTCGAAGATTTGGGGCAAATATAAAAAATGTTTATGAAGTGCAATTAAAAATCCCCGTGGTTTTCTGAAGATAAATTACAAAACTCCAAAGAAGATTGTCTCTAATTCTCCAGGCGAACCTGTTCTCTCCCCTCACCAACTAGTGACACCCAGGAGACAAGCTAGAGAAACATTACCATAGGTATTCACTAAGGGTACTGGAAAATTGGTTAAAATTTTGAAAGCCCTTAACATAAACCAAACAGTAAACACTGTCAATATTTTCCTACTTACGTGGGATTTTGACCAGTAGATAAACACTTCGGCCACCATGCGGAAAAGGTCCTCTGCTTCTGGGTTAGGCTCTTTTAGCCACTTTGCCCTGGATCGAATAATCAACAAAGCGGCTTCCCAGTTACTCAAAGTTAATTTAAAAAAAATTACCCTCCCAAATTTAAATTTGAAACCAAGCAAAATAAGGAAGAACATGCTGCCCACTGAGCTCATAAAGGGCTTCAATGTAGAGTTGTAACATTTAAAACAATTAAAACATCATAACTGTCAAAACTGCTAACTTTTACATGCACAAAGTAGACTGCTCCAGAATGTGACTTCCAACTGTAGTTCTAAGATGCTCAGTGAAAATTAACTTATGTCTAAACATTTGGTTATGTCATAATCACAAACAAGCTCATTGCTAAGTAGGGGACACATGAACCCAGCAAGGTTATGATGGAACTAGAGAAATTAAATCACTTTTGAACATTATACCTGTTATAGTCCACAAATCTAATCAAGAGTGGGTAGAAGGCATAGAGATCTCTGGCCAGAGTAGTGAACTCATCTAGAATGAGTAGTTCAGCCTCGGACATATCCCCCCTGGCCTCGGCTTTCAGATGGTCTTCCTCAGATACCACCATTGCTGCCTTTTTCTTGAGTTTCTCCATTAATGGCAAGAAATGAGTTTTCAAGAGCTGAGGTTTCACTTTATTTATAATAGGCTGGGAAAATACTGTTTGAAGACAGACATTAATATTCTGCTCTGCAAAAATATTCATTAAAATGAGGATACATTGTAATTACAATTGTAGCACAATTAAAGCCTCCCTCTCCTCCGGCACATGGCTTCCTGTAGGATTCATCCCATGCCGCAGTCATTTTTCTAGTCCAAAACCTAATTGCATAGTTGCTGCTCAAAAATGACTATGTACTGAATAGAATCTGATGTGCTTTCTTGTTTTTAAAAAAGGATTGACAGCTAGTTTAGAATAGAAAAAAAAAAAAAAAAAGACATTCGTTCACTTTGGAAATCAATTATTTTCACACAAAGACAAGTCCTCAAATGGAAAAGGTCCCCTGACCATTTCCTTAGAAGACATGCACATCACTGAATAATTATATGAGGCTACACACAGTTGTCTCTTTAATTGTTCTCGTCCTTGTCCCAGTGAAGAGTTAGATTACATATAACACTGCTCTTTTATTTAATAATAGCTGTAGTTGTCAGCAATAGTTCTAAATTTGATTAGGCCATTTTTAAAAGGAATTTTTTCCCTAAAAGTAACATATATACATTGGAGAAATATATAAAAAATAAATGTTAAAATCAACCATAATCACCCTATCCGAATTAGTAAGACATTGGTGTATTTCTTCGGGGTTTTTATCAATAAATTATTTCATATACATATATATATGTATTTCTGAATTCAATTTTTTAAAAACTCTCCGTTCATTCTCCATGATAGTATGAGCATTTTCAAGTCATAAAACGTTGAAACCTGAACATTTAAAGATGGCACAATATTCTGGTATATGGTGTATACAACCTATTTAACCATACTCCAGTGGCTGGGCATTTAAATTGCTTCTGGTTACTCAGTATAAATAGTGCAACGACAGATAAACTTAAATGTAATATTTGACTGCATCTTCTGACTATCCTCCCCTCAGTCCAGTAAGACAGATTGCTAAAAGTGGGTTGTTTCAAAATCCAGTTTTATTTTTGTTCATTAGTTTTTACTGCTGTGCTTATTAATCTTATAGAGATTGTCAAATTAAGAAAATACTTACTTACTTAAAAGTAGTAACTATATGAAAAGTTACCTGAGTCTGATTACGTCAACATTTTTTCAAGAACAGCATGACAGAAATAATCAGTATTTTTTGAGCACAGAAGAAAATATTAATAAAGACGAAGATAGGAAAATTCTAGTCTTCTATATCTCAAATCTTTTTGGAAATAAAACAAATCTAAGTGGTACATTCCTTTCCAATCCTTACCTGCTAATCTCTTCATCCAGGCTCCCTCATCAATTCCCAAGTTATTATATATGATTTTCAATATATTCCCCAGAAGTGTGTTCATGTGCTCTGAGTTCAGAGCTGTACAGCACATTTCAGCCCTTTCTGGATTGTTTTCAGGTCCGTGCTCCCACCAACGAGACATGTAGCTACAAAGCATGGGCAGTATGACTTCCATGACATGCGGCATTTGCGTGTAGCGAATACCAGACTCGGCTAACTCTACGATTTCTTCCATGAGTTTCTCCAAAGATGGTATATTTGGACAAACATCTTCCACATTAGTTGGCAAACTGAGAGCTAGAGAAGCACACACAAAAAAGAATTGTGTTCAGTGAAAGAACTGACACAACAGCCAGATTGCCACTGTTTATAACAGGCACAAGCAACCATTTCCTACTGGGCTTCAAAACTCAGCAAGACCTGGCATGCCTTGGACTGGCTCCTTCTTCCTTTTCTCACGGCAGCTATTTCTAACTTTCTCTCTTTTTCCCAAGTGCCTACCCTACCACCACTCCCTGGATCTGCAAGTGACTTTTCCTTCTACTTCAGAGCAAATAAGAATATCAAATGTCTCTGCCTACAAGCTTTCTGGTTCCACATTCACGTCCGTTCCCCATTTCAGAGGAAGGAGTTCTGACGTCCCTAGTCAGGCTTCCACCTGTGTTCCTGATGCCGAGCCTACCTCACAGCAGAGGCCTTGCTCAGGCCTGTCTTTTCAGCCCCTCCCTCTCTAATACCTCCTCCCCCGCAGCCTATACATATGCTCAACTCTCTCCTAGATTGTTAGCTTTCCAGGCATTTTTCTATCCATGGAAATGAGGGCCTCTGCTTTCCACTACTTACCAAATTTATTCTTTTACAATCCTTACCTTACTGACTGTTACAGTGGAATTTCACATCATTGACCAAATTCCCTTTTCCTAAAATTCCCCTCTTTCCTAACTTCAAAGCATTTAGTCTTTCTTGACTCTCTTCTGAATTCTGTCAGTCTCCTTTACTAACCTTTTTCTCCTTGCTGAACTTTTAAATGTTGGTTTTCTTTAGGGATCTATCTAACGCTCTTCTCTTTTTTGGCTTATATGTCTGCCTGGGCTATTTTGGCCTTTCCTATGGGTTTCTGCTATAAGCTAATAACTCTCAAATCCATATTTCTTAAAATTTTTTGTGTCTAATACTGAATGTCTCAAAAGCAGCTAAAACACAATGGGTCTAAATTTAAATTTGACCTCTCCTCTCCAACCGACCTCTTGAGCAGGTACTATCTTATTGAGGACAGTCAGTCACCCAGGCTAGAAACCTGGGGAAATTCAAGGCTGCGATGCTCCTTCATCTCCCACACAATAAGATTCTATCACTAGGATGTCTCACAACCACTTCACTATATGCTCCATCCAAGGGGCCTTGCTCAATCTTATCACTTCTGAATTACCATAATCATCTTCTATTTGGTGACTCACACCCACTCATCTTCCTTATTTCTGTCATGATTTGGAATTCTAAAATGCAAATCTACTCACGTTTCTCCCCTTTTTAAAGCCAGTAAAAGGATCCTCTTTGCCACTGGTACAGTCTGCACTCCTTACCTGACATAGAAAGCCTACCTCGCCTTTTCTGTCTTTCCACTTTTGTCTCATCTTTTACTATTTTTTCTCCTGACAGCTATCTCCACCTCCAAGTGCTTGAAGTTTCTTCCAATGTGCCAGACTTTCCGTGTTCCTAATTTCAAGATTCATCTTGTACCAACCCTGTGAAGTCTTTCTAGGTGTTCTCAGCTAAAACTGCTTTTTTGTGTCTCCAGTGTTCTTTATTCTCAATTCTATCACATATATTTATCAGTCTCTCTCTCTCTACTGCAACTGAAAACTCCCTGAGGAAGAGAATCAAATCTCATCCATCTTTGTATCCTATCTCCTTTATCTACTGCAGTGTACATCACAAACAATTATTTGTTGAATTACTGACTAAAAAACGAATGAAAGAGAATCATTAAATTCAATTCTTTTACTTTGTGATGCAAATGATGTGTTATAGAAACATAAAGAGGTAAATTATCTGCTCTGTGTGTTTCCTTAGCGGTAATGAAATAACAAACCTGCTTCATTTTTGATTCACAGCAAAAATATTAACCAATCAAAAATCCTTAATAAGACAACTTAATATGACATGTTCACACAGATAATTAATCCAACCTCATCCATGTGTTACTATTTACTAACATATTATGGAATTTATATAAAAAATACTGCTAAGTCACATTCAATATATTTTTCTTTAACTTCCTCTGTTATATAAAATTAAAATTATAAAATAGGGAAATTAAATAGTGATTATTCAACTTTTTAAAAGATTCTTTCCTTGACAAAATTCACTCTAAAATCAGTGCAACCAGCAGCTCCCATAAAACATGAGTTATACAAAGAAATGATCTTGTTAACAGAGAGGTATGCATTTGTGAACAGCAAATAATTCTTTTCCAAGTTTGGAGAACTCTTTAGGGCTAGTGGAAAACAACCAAATTACAATATACTTTATCAGACTTAGAGGAAATAAACATAAAAAAAACAATGAGAGGACACTTGTGTAACATTCAGGCTTTCAGAACTCTGCTTCAATTGCTTTAAATGGCTGATTCGAGGAATAATAAGTTTCTGCTTTATTAACTATTTGTTATCCAACTCAATTCAAATCCTAGTAAATAATTCTAATAGGTTCTAAAGGCCAATCATTGAAATCATCAGCAATGGTTCTAAAAGCTTTTCAACTGGGACAGCGAAAAAAATGGATCTTTCTACCCAGAAAATAATCAGATTTTCCCAAATGGAAAGCAACCTGACTCACGAGTATATATAGGGTAGATATAGGGTAGATATCTAGGGTAGATATAGACATAAAAATCTTAGAGGTACACATACTAGGATACACAAATTAAAGTTTTTGATTAACTATGCCTTAGATTTTGTTTTTAAAAATTTTAAATGATAAAAGCTGCACCAAATTATTAGAAGAAAGTCACATGGAATAAAACTGTCCCAATAAGGCAGACATGTCAGGTGAACAAAGAAAAACAAAAGGTACAAATCCACAAATGTAATGAATACGAACGCCATACACTTGCTGACTCCGTATAAGAGAACTGAATCAGAAATCAGACTGACCTATTTTTTCCATATCTGCTGATTCTTTTGTCTTACTCTTAAGGGTGTTAATTTGTCTGTGGCTCATTAACTTAGAAGAAATTAATTTTCTTTCAGAAACGCTATGGGTATAGTATACAGCATTCCAAAAAAATCCAAATAATAACACTTAAGAACAAGTAGCATTGGAGATAGTAAAGTGAAATGGCCCATGAAAAAATCACAAGAGGAAAATACAATAAATGTCCTTAAGTTTTAGCTTCACGTCTCAAATACTGCACATGCTTCCAAGTTACCTGCTCTTTCTCGTGAAGACTTAGTGTTGTAGATAGAGTAAATATTATGTTTGTCGAGATGAGTTTCCAAAAATGCTACAGGAAAGGCACCAGCAAAGGCAGCCAGACACTCTCCTAATGCAGAACGTTGCCTGTAAGTGGAAAATGCTTATACTTTTTAAGTCTTCCAAGTGAGTAACTGAAGAAGTTATATCAAAATTGGCAAGTTTAACTTAAAAGAGGGACAATAACAGTGCTAGTAATAAAATTAACCCCCAAATCCAATTTCTGTATTACAAAATATCATATGCTTTCAACAGCAAAGTCCCAGCCATTTAAAAAAAGCTCAATTATCTGTCAGTTAAAAGAAGTTAAAAATAGTACAGACCAAAATGATAAGAAAAACTTTGTCAACTCTCCCACAAGTTTAGACATTTCTTTTTCTTTTCTTTTCTTTCTTTTTTTTTTAAGATAATGACTTCCTGAGGAAGAATTCTGGCTGTGACTAAATAGGTAGATAAAAATAAAAAAATGAAGTGCTAATACTAATACACTAATAAAATTTTCTGAAAATTTACCACATGTAAGTAATTTCAGGGTAGCTATGAAATACTGACATACTAAATACGAAAAAGTATTGAAAACACTTAAAATTGATTTATCATTTTCAAAGGAAGGAAGGTGTTTAAAGAATTGGATTGTGATCAACTGATTCAGGCAGGTTATGAACCAAGGCACTCCCAGCCACTGATACAAATTCTCTCTTTCCCTTAGTTATCTCCTATATCCAAGGCTTTACTGGAACATTAAATACTATAGAATAATGAGAGTTATTTCAGCAAATTATGAACTCCATAAATGATTTTATATATGTATTTTATTTAAAAGTCAATAAAATGGGTCAAGAAAAGATTATATAATCCTCCTAGGCTATTTTAAATTTCTCACTGGAAAAATATAATCCTTAAAATTAACAATGTCTGATTATCTAATATTTTAATTAAAAATGACTAGATACCTAGTCAACTAGGAGAAAATATCCCTTCATAGAATGACATTGAATAAAATACAATTCAAACATTTAATAACATGCCATTACTAAAAATGATTTAGGACATCAAGAAATTACAAAGAGTACAGGCTTTGATTCAGACAGACTCAAGTCTCAATCTTAGTCCAAACACTTATGTCACTGTAGGAAAATTACTTACCCTTTCCAAATTTTTCTTTCCTTACCTAAAAATAGGAATGCAGAATTGCGAAATTTCTTGCACATAGTATGGGCTCAATAAATGTTTTAAAATAATGAGAAATAATTTATTTAAGACTTTAATAGCCTAAAGTGTTTCAGGTATGACCCCAAAATAGGTAATTTATTTCCTTACACCTGATTGGACTGGTCCTTTTATTTCATTAATAATTCATGTAAATTATCTAATAATTTACTTTAAAATTTAAATCCCATTAATAATGGTCAGACCAACTCTGATCATTCTGTGTCAGTTTTCTGGAAATAGCTATTTTTCTTCTGGATGACTTGTATTAAAATACCTACTTTTTTTAGTACAATATCACTTTTTCTTTTTTTTCCAAATATCTTTTATTCATTTTCAAATTTTTATTTTTATATTCTCCTCAACTCATTTTATAATTGAAAAGTTAATTGCAAAAAAATTAAAAATATGTATCTTTTTTGAGAACCTAACAAAATGATACCAGATTTTATCAAGAAAAACAGCTACATGAGAATAGCAACAATAATAACAGCCACTGTTAAGGTATGAGAGAGTTTGGACTACCAAATATTAAAATATATTACAAAATGCTAACAATTCAGGCTATATGGTACTGATCTAATCATTAAAAAATCAAATAATGGAACAGAAGTTCTAGAAATATAACAGTAAATACATTACTTTAGTACATGATGAACGTTTTATTTTAAATCAGCAAGTGAAAGAGATATTTAATAAATCATTATTTTACAGGTGGTTGATAATTTAAAAAACTGAATTCTACATAACACCAAAGAGAAACACAGAATTCAGATGCATTTCTAGTAAATTCTCTTCTTATCCCAGAGATGATCATTTCAGACATTCTCTACTTTCCTCAAGCTTCTCACACTTCTTTTTTCAACCATCATTTGGCTGAGGACTCAAGACAGATTTCACTGAGAAAACAGAAGCTATTAGACAAACGTATTTACACCTAACTTATCTTCCACCTGTTTTCTGTTGAATGGAGGAAAGTTCTGAGCTTAAAAAACGACGTGCTAGAAGACACATTCCTGACTACTCTGCATCACTCTCTATATTGTGTGCTGATTCACACACAGTAATTGCCACCGTTACATTTACCAGTTTACTTGTTTTGTTTTGTTCCCCCTACTTGATATGAGCTCTATGGGAATAGGGATCTACCTTGTTCATTGCTGTATCCCAGAACCTGGCATTTAATAAATGTTTACTGAATGAGCAAAAGGATTAAATGAATGAGCAAAAGGATTAAAAAACTAAGTCTAAACAACTGAAAGCATGAAATACCTAGGAGGGTAAATATTTAAATTTCTAGCTGTTAATAGTGTAGTATAAACTTTTTAAAATCATGAAACTAGGGAGCAGAAACATATATGAAATAATTGATAGATATGATTATATAAAAATGTAAAATTCCCTTGTCATAAAACACTATCTACATCTAGCGTTTTATATAGAAGCGCTGTAAAGGTATACAAATGATAAAAAATGCTCATAAAAGTGGGATAAATAAGAGGCAAGAAGTTAATAGTTTTAATAAGTAAAACGGTTATTACAAATCAGCAAGACAACATATTAACAGAAAAATGGGCAAAAGATGAGAAAAGGCAATACATAAAATAAAGACATACAAATGGCCAAGCAAACACACAAAAAATAGCTAGTAACTGGTAATTAGGGAAATGCATTTGAAAACAAAAACAGGATCTCATTTTTAACTATTACATTTATAAATAGTAAAAAAGAATAATAATCAGAAGTGAGAAAAATGTGAGGAAATGAGGATTCTCTTGTAAAACTTGAGAGTGCAAATTGAATCAATTTTCTGAAAAGACAGTGAAACATGTATCATAATCCTTTAATATATGCATACTCTTAAACCTAGGTTTCTAAATTCTGAGAATATAGCTAAAGGAAATAAAAACAAATAAAGAGAGAAAACTGTGAACGTAGATTTAGCATTATTTATGTTAGTGAAAAAGAGAAAAAAAACCAGCCTACGTGTCAAAAATAAAGCAACATTTCAATAAACTATAATATTTCCTTAGGATAAAATATTTTACAGCCATTAAAATTATATGAAAATAGTTTAATTAAAAATGCAGGTAAAACTGTAAAAAAATTCAGAATGAACCCAGTTGTCTCTTGATATACTTTCCTATCTCTATGTAATTGTCACCCTATTTTAATTATTGTTGCTTTATAAGTTTTAATATTTGGTAGGACAAATGAGTAGCCTTTCATTACTCTTCTTTTTCCTCTCAAAACATTATTGGCTAATATCATGGGTTTATTCTTTCAAATGAACTTTTGAATTATTATGTCAAGTTCAATAAAAAGAAAATTTCTATTTGAAATTGTATTGTAATTAGCAGATTAATTTGGGAAGAATTTGCATGTATTCAGTATTCTTCCATCAGAGTATTCTTCTATTTATTTATTTCATTTATCAGTCTTCTATCAGAATGTCTTTTTATTTAGTCTAGGCTTTTTAAAAACTGCCCTTTCTTCTCTCTTCTACAGAAATTTTTTACTGAAGTTGCCAGTGATCTCTTATTTTAAGTTCAACAGAGACACCTTATCTTACTTGACCTGTCTACATCATCTGACCTTGCTAATCTCTCCTTCTTAAACTTGAAAACATGAAAAAAAAACTGTTTTAAAAACTGCCAATATTCGTGCTTGTTTTGTATTTCTGATATATAATGAGAAATTGTACTAGCAGATTCCTTCACAAAGACTCATGTACATTCTAAGTTCAAACTTTATATTAAATATGGTCTTTACCATTAAGGCTTTACCTTTATTTTTCATAACTCAACTGTCTTTTATTATATCAATTCAAGTTTAGCTTAAAGATTGTCTAATTATTCCCAAGGAATTCAATATGGCAATCTGGTTGTTTAGTTTACAATGAAGGAAAAAATTATAAAGTGAGGACTCTTGAAATAAATAGTTAGAACACTTGAAAAAGCTATTAATACAAAGTTAAACTTTTAAAATCTTACCTTTCCACATAAATACTCTTGCTGGTTCCCAAAGCATATAAGCTAGTCAGAATTCTATAACATGACACCTGTACATCTTCCACTAAGGAAAAAGAGAATCTCACTTGAAAAAAACACTTGTTATTTATACATCGTCCTGAGAAAGTTTAGGCTAAAAACAAAATTCCACATTAAAGGCACACTAATATTTTAATATTTGAAAAAAGCAATATAAGAACAAACAGATATGTAAAATGAAATATAAAATTTTTTTCTAAAACAAAAGTCTTTTTTTTTTTGTGAGGAAGATCAGCCCTGAGCTAACATCCGTGCTAATCCTCCTCTTTTTGCTGAGGAAGACCAGCTGTGAGCTAACATCTATTGCCAATCCTCCTCCTTTTTTTTTTTCCCCAAAGCCCCAGTAGATAGTTGTATGTCATAGTTGCACATCCTTCTAGTTGCTGTATGTGGGATGCGGCCTCAGCATGGCTGGAGAAGTGGTGCGTCGGTGCGAGCCTGGGATCCGAACCCGGGCCGCCAGTAGCAGAGCACGTGCACTCAACCGCTAAGCCACTGGGCCGGCCCCAAAACAAAAGTCTATAAGGAGCTGAAAATGTTCTAAAGAATCATGCTGTGATTCTTTAGAACATTATCAGGAATAATTTTTTTTTATAATTTTTCTCTAGGTATAAGAATAAAAGATTTCTTCAAGAATAAAATTAAGAACAAGAATATCTGGGAGGACAGGTAGATTTTGACCCCTGTTCCAAAGGTATATAAAGACTGCAGCTTTTATTTAAACTCTCAAATGAACAAGAATGAGCATACTGGAGGATGCAATGTGTTTCTTATTCCTGAAAAGACCCAACATTTAAGGCATAAGTAAGTCACTCTAGTAGTTTTTTGAAGCTAGAAAATCAAACAAAACCTTATAGATGATCTATTATTCAATAAGTCATGTTTAAGAGGAAAGAAAATCTAAGAACCAGGATTTCTAATTCCAACTCTGCTACCATTTCCTGGAGGATACACAAGGACATGAATGGAGAAATCATCCTTGTTCTCCAGACCTGTATGCACGTTCACATTGTGCTGCAAGCAACGCTCCGATTGGTTCAACCAGTGGTTGTATCATCCACTGAGTAACACTGTGGTTTTTACACAGAGCTGCACTTCACCTGGGGAACCTACAGTGTTGACAGTCTGAGTGGGTGGGTCTGCAGTCAAGACCCACTTGACTGCTTGACAAGGACTCATATCTTCTCTCATGGTCATATCAGCAGGAGGGCAGGGAATTAGGATAAGTCGTGCATTCTTTTTTTCCACATAACCTTGGGCATTCTGTGGATATTTTTAATAACTATAGAATTTCAGCCACAAACAACTAATTAAATCCCCCATGAAAACAGACTGAAACTTACAAATGGAAGATACTTGAGCCACCCTAGTAGACCAATTATATAGAGACAGACCTTGTCTCAGTAGTTTTCATATTTCTTGGTAGTAGAGCTTATGGAAACAATCTGCATCGACTCAGAAATACTTTGAAAACATTTAATGTTGCATGTCCTATGGTCAAACTGCATTAGAAAATTTCCATGGAAAGAGACAACCTAGAAAAATGTAAAATTTGGAACTTGTACTTCAACAATGTGGAAGTGACTGTCCATAACCACTACCTTACTGGTCCCTTCTGTGAATCCACATGATTCAGTGATCTATCTCTATAAGAATGGTTTCTGCAACCCAAATGTCAACCTATAATGTTCTGCAAAAAAAGCATTTCAATGTATAAGCAGAGTTTGAGTAACCCAGATGGGGCTTTTACAACTTCTGATTGTACCGTTTAGATAATGAAATTCTAAGTAACAGATTTACATACATATTAGATCTTCTCCGAACTGATGCTGGCCAATATGCTCAAATAATGATGACAGCATTGGTAACAGTGCCACCGTGGTATAATTGATAATCTGAGTAACACCTTTGGGTTGGTTTCGGGTGTGGGTGAACTGGCCCTGCTTAAGATTCTCCATCGTCTTCTCCAGATCCTCTGCAGCATTGTCCAGAAAAGCTCTGAGTGCACTTTTAACACTCTCCAGGCCAGTCTTCATTACAGTTCTAGGAAGTAAATAAGGGAGAACTTATACGTGGTGAGAGGAGCAAGTGAAATAGAAATAAAGTATGCTTCTATTTTATGTTTATTTGTCCATTACAACATTCACTCAGTCCACTAATTTTTTTTTTTTTTTTTGATGAGGAATATTAGCCCGGAGCTAACATCTGTGCCAATCTTCCTCGATTTTGTATGTGGGATGTTTTCACAGCACAGCTGATGAGTGGAGTAGATGTGCACCAGGGGTCCGAACTCGCAAACCCAGGCCACTGAAGTGGAGTGTGCGGAACTTTAACCACTTGGCAACGGGGCCAGCCTCCACACTAAATTCTTTAAATGCAGTCTCAAAAAATCTTTTTCAATACACCTGAAGTTACAGCAATATTGCTCTGTAAATGCACAACCTTTCCTAAATGGCTTCACAGTCAACTTAATTAGGATCTCAGAGAAAAAGGCAGTGCTAATGCTTCGTGTTTTCCACCAGTGTCCTCAAAATAAAACACAGCTTCTGAGCCAGTTTAGTTAATTCCAAATCCAACACAACTAGAATGTTTCCTGAGGCAATGGTGTAAAAGAAACATTAAATGACGGCTAAACCAAGTCTAATGACACAGATACTTTGTGCTTTAATGGTAGCAATCAAGTCTTTTCTAAATAAGCCTCTGAAGGCTCAACTTTGTAGAGAAGTGACAATCTAATTCCACTAGTTTTAGTAGGAAATGAAGGTGAATAATGGCGTCTTCTTTCTTCATTTACTATACAAACACCTCAAATAAAATTTTAAACACAAAAATGAATAATCGAAGAGTATCATAGAATATTTTCTGTGGGACACATTTAAGAACTTTTATTTAGATTACTCTGGAAAATAAATAAATTAAATAAATGTATGGCTTAAAGGCTGAATCAATCATGCTAAATGAATTGATTTGTATTTAGTCAACATGTTGGAGTGCTGGTCACGTTGCTAGTAGGGCAGAGTAGAAAGCACACAGTCTTGGGAATTGGTCTACTTCCACACTTACTATGCAATCTTAAGCTTCACTTTAGTCATCTGTAAAACGAGAACAAAATCCTCATGCTTCCTATAAAGCTAAACGTTATTTATAAATACAGAGCACAAGCACCATGCCTAGAAGCTAATAAGACCTCTAGAGTTGCAGCTTGCCATTTTTACTTCACATGATACATTCCCAATTCAATCCCCAGTTACAAACCTAGCTGCTACAGAAATTACCTGAAATTTAAATAAGAATCTATATAAGATCATAAAAATAATAAAATGCCATTGTATTAGTAATTTGTAAGAGTTTCTTTTCACTTACACTACAGTCTTTATCACAATTTCAAAGAATAAAATCAAGACACTAGGTCCATCTTAATATTCTTATATATTATTACACTCATTGATTTCAATAAAAATGTATCCATTTACCTTGCATCCAAAGTCTGACCCAAAATATGAAGACAGTTGACAATTGATGTTGCATCATTTCCTAAAGAGGAAACAAAATGCTGTATAAATTGCCCTGAGAATTTCTCAGTGTTCTTCTTTTCTATTAATGTTTGTGTTCCAAAAATTAGTCAATGGCACAACTCTATAATAATAACTCAATTAAAAAGATGTTTTGATAATCAAGTTTAAAATCATGCAGTTTTTCTGCTGAAAAGTGGTTATGCGAATGTAAGTAGAAAAGCAATAAAGCATTTCTCATCAAATAGCTGACATACTCAAGAAGCATTCAAAGCACTGCACCAGGCTCAAGAGTTTTAACCGGATTCTTCAAATAGAGTCCTCTTCCCATAGTAGTTCATCTTATTTTTAAATTATATCGTATGCCAACTTTTTAAGTCAGCTCATATCTTTTATGAAATGAGGTGGGCTAAAAGTCTAATAAATTTAATTCCACCTTAATTACCCTGAGTGTCTCTGCTTTCTGATTGCATTCAACTGCATTAAGATGAATTAATTTTCCTGATTTCAATTGCATTAAGATGAATTACTTTGCCTGAATGTTGCTGGTCTTTGGTGAAAAAGAAGCACCAAACTATCATATAAAAAAAATCAGAGGCTGAAGAAGTTAAATCTTAGACTCTTATGAGATATTTGAAATGGGGGTAACTCTTTTTGAAAGTAAGATGAAATTCACTTATTTTGATTGGCATATTTTATCAGAAAGTACAGAAATATGAATTACACAACTACTACATATATTCTACTTTGTTATAAGCATACAGAAAAGCAAATAAATAAAATGGTGAATCCAAAGTAGCAAAGAAATTTACCACTCACAACATAGTTTGACATTATCACATTCTCATTTCATACTTTCTAATATATAATATATACAGTCATTTCCTGGGTCCTGAGGTTAGCAACTCTTATTTGAATGTAAGTTTTATAACATTTGAGTATATTTTTTATACAAAAAGGTATCCTAAAATTAATTAATTAAATATACATGGAAATTAATAATTGCCTTAGAATGTAGGCAAGCCAATTTAGTGCTTTGATACAAATAAGAAATAAAAATAAGGTATCCATTGCTGAGACTCTGAGTTCTTTAAGAAAATGTTCCATTTATCTTGTGCTTCAAATCTCAGAATTTCTGGTGATAATGAAGACAGAATCAGCATAAAGGCAAAACTGATGTCCCCGTCTATTGATTGTAGCAGTCCTAGGGCTTCTACTGTAGCCCCTAGAAGTGTTATTCATTTAAGTGTTCATTCACTAATAAATGAATGTTAAATACCAGGCACTCGCAAACTTCCAGTAATAAGTAATACAGAAAGCTCATGGTACTAGCATTTTAATAGGTAATACAGATAGTTAACTATTAAGCAAAAAAAAAAAAAAAAAATCAATATATAACATAATATCAGGCCACAGTAAAAAAATATACAGTGGGGAATAGAAATTAGAGCAAATGGATATGGTAATAGGGTGAGTGGTCATGAGGCCCTCCCCAAGAAGGCGACATTTGAGCAGAGATTTAAATGAAGTAAAGGAACAAACCATGCATTTACCTGGGGGAAAGGCCCAGGCACAGGGAACAGCATGTGCAAAGGCTCTGAGGCAGAAAAGGAACTTGGTGTTCCAGGTAAGGAAGTGAGGGTGGTTGATGTGTGCAGATTCAGGGGAAAGGAGGAGGATATGAGGTGGAGAGGAGGGGAGCCAGGTTCTAGAGCCTTGCAACCAGAGCAAACACTTGGGAGTTTTTTAAGTGCAATAGGAAGACCTTCTCAGGTTTTGAACAGAATGAAATCTGATTCATATTTTAAAAGGATTAATTCACAATGTGCAAAACTCTGGAAGGGCAAGAGTGGAAGCTAGTTAGGAAGCTACTGCAGTAGTCTAGAAACAGAGGATTGATGATGGTGAATTTGGATTAGGATATTAGCAGTGGAGAAATTAAGAATCTATTTTAAGGATTTGCTTATGGATTGAATGTGAGGTGAGAGGAAAAGGAGTCAGGGATAACTCCAAGACTGTTTGGGTAAGCAATCTTACCAGCAGTTGGGTGAAGGGTGGGATGAATGAATGATGTGGAGAGTGTACAAGGGAGGAGCAGAAAGTGGGAGGAGGGGAAGGATGGGGGTTGTGTCCTCTGCTTTCCACAGGTTGTGTGATGGGCCTATTCATCTCAGGTGGAGATGCGGAATAGGCAATTGATACAAAAATCTGGAGGGCAGAGAAGAGATCTGAGCTGGAGCCATAAATTTGGGCATCGTAAGCATATAGATAATTTTTAAAATCATGGACCTGAATGAAATTAGCCAGCATGAGCATAAATATAGAAGTAAAAAGGTCCCAGGGCCTCCAGAGTTTGGATTTTATGCTTGGAGGTACAAAGATAAGGAGGATGCAGCACAGAAAATGAGAAAGAGAAGGCCCAGGAGGAAGAAGGGACACAGGCAATGCTCATGAGTCTCAAGCAACTATTATTTAGCACCAAATCAGACAGGCTGGTCCCTCACTCTCTTCCTGACACTCACAGTTCTTTTTCCCTTTCCTTTCTTATCTACTGTCTCTTCCTATAGATTATCAGTGTTTGTCCTTTGTACTGAGTTCACCCATGCCCTTTTCCAAAAGGATGGCCAGGGGTATTTTCAACCTCTATTCATATAAGCTTGTCAGGTGGGGTTTTTGTTTGCTCTCTCCCCTGCTGTAGCCCAGCACCTAGAATAGCTTTTGACATACAGCAGGCACTCAATTACAGCTTTGTGGAATGACTGTGGGATGTGAAGAGTAGGAAACAGCACCAGTGGCCAGACACGTTCTGTGGATCAAATGAAAATGTGGATGGTGAATATGAGATTTCTGTGATTGTTAAAATAACTGTAAGCTCCATCAATCTACACATTTCAGTACACTCCAGATCACATGCAGTACAACGTGAAATGGAAACACCTCTATGTAGAGAGTGGTGGGAAAAGGACCCTAAGGAATGCAGACAAAGTATTAGTTGAATCTTTGACATTTTAGTGTATAGACCAAGCAAAAGCATCAATTCTATTAGCACGTGTAAAAGCCTAAACTAATGGTTAGTCTTGAAGAGAGAAAGCACGTAGTGAGTAAGCCTTTTAGATAAAATAAGAACCTGGATGTTGCCCTTCTTAAGGCTATCCAGATGACCGTAATCAGAAATGTCAATCATGCTATGAGTAAGAACAGGAAGGGCTAGTGAAAATGCAGTAAGATGGTAACATTTTAAGGTGATGATTGTATTTTCATGTACTTAACTGTATATAATTGCTTTATTGCTTTGAGTAGTATGAAAACCAAAAGTTTGATACTTTTCAACTCATGCTTTTTCAATGTCTAAGCCAATTTCCTTGTCTTCAAACATACCTCTTATCACCTTTAAACAGTTAGGGCAACACTTACGGATTGCCTATTTGTCTTCAAGATTGTGTGTTTGCATGAGCGTGTGTGTGTGTAAACATAAAACGTACATAATTAAAATCAAAGCTCATAACTGAAACTAATAACCACAGACGGCCAGCATTGGTTTTTAAAAAACTGTCACTACTCATAAAATAATACAACTCTCTAAATAATGAAAATAACCAAGTTAAAGCTGACAGAGTTAAAATATTCTTTTGCATTTTAATCTCAACTTGGTTCGTGGTTTTTAATATAAGGTTTCTATAACTCAGGAGTTTTCAATGTTACATAAAATTTGACATATGTACCACTTTTGTCTTGTAATGTGGTTATTGAGGATTCTCAGAATGACTTTCTCTCCTCTGGGAAAAGCAGTAACATTCTCATTTTTTGTTTCTTCTCCACTTTTCTAACATGGCTCTTGATACAATATCTCATTATATTCTCTTCTTTGAAAAAATGATTAATCTTGGCAGAATCCTTATTAATAATGTGAAATAAAATTATGGTACAAGATAAAAATTTCGCTCAAAATTATGAGGAGTTAGAAAGAAACTGAAGAGAACCAATGAGTTTATTACTTCTGAAGTCCATGATATCAAAAGAATAAAATTACCAATTCTCTAACATGGTGAGAAGTTTCAGTCAAACTAAGAACATATTTGATTTTATTTGTTTATTTTTTTATGAGGAAGATCAGCCCTGAGCTGATATCTGACGCTGATGCTCTTTTTGTGGAGGAAGACTGGCCCTGAGCTAACATCCATGCCCATCTTCCTCCACTTTATATGGGACGCCGCCACAGCATGGCCTGACAAGCGGTGCATCATTGTGCGCCAGGGATCCTAACCCAGGCCGCCACAGCGGACCGCGTGCGCTTAACCGCTACGCTACCGGGCCGGCCCCCTGAGAACATATTTTAGATAATTACACAATCTATTCATTTGTCCCAAAGTCAAGAAATTCTCTCATAGTGATATGTTCAAATGAAAGAAATATCTATAGCACTCTAATACTATCTTCTGATATTATTTTCATTATAGGTGTCTGATTCTGATATTTCTGACCTAACCAATCTCTCTATAAGCAGTAAGTTATTTCTAATATAGCATATATAACAAGTTAAATCCGGGAAATTCTTGTCTTTGCCATGTACAGTGTCACAAAACTAAAGAATTTTTAAGTTAGAGAAAGACCTAACGATCCCCTAGTGATCAATAACAATGATCAGCAGAAGTAGCAGATTGTGCATGACTGAACCATTAAACTCTCAGCACAACGATACACCCAATTCTCATATATGCACTATCCTTGGAGATTCTTAGTACTTTAAAAGATTTTCCTTACGTTATATGTATCCTGTTAAACAAACACAAGCACAACCCAGACCTTTTTAGAGATAAATACAAACATATACTAATTTTCTAATATCTCCTGATACAAGATAGCAGTCCTCATTTAAATACATGAATGGGTTTGTTGGGGGAGGGGATAACAAAAATATCAACATCAACTTAAATAATTTTTTAATCAGGGAGAAATACCAATTGATAGAATTCACTGTACTACTTTATTTACCATTAAAACTCTTCCAAACACAACATTAAG